GACTCACTCACTCACTCACTCACTCACTCACTCACTCACTCACTCACTCACTCACTCACTCACTCACTCACTCACTCACTCACTCACTCACTCACTCACTCACTCACTCACTCACTCACTCACTCACTCACTCACTCACTCACTCACTCACTCACTCACTCACTCACTCACTCACTCACTCACTCACTCACTCACTCACTCACTCACTCACTCACTCACTCACTCACTCACTCACTCACTCACTCACTCACTCACTCACTCAGAACTATTTATTTAACCCTAGCTTTACAATCTATAAGTCATTCTGTGACATGAACCAATATATGATAAATGTTTGATTCTACATGTTATACGACTATACCATGTATGTAGACAATGAACAATTATATCGACGGATATCCAGAAGGTCGACCGTGGGGCGTCGTTCAGTAGGTCCCCAGTCCCGATGCACACCTATGCACTTTACGTTCTTGACTTCGAACCTGCTGCATGAACCTGCGAGCACGTGCGAGCACGGGACGGATAGTATTGGGATGCATAATACTATTGGAACCGCTATTGGATGAATACTGATGCGTCAGTGTTCGCCCATCCCATATGGGATGGATCCCACTGGATCCATGTGCAGTGGCACTGCACTTGCTGGAAACCAGAACCCCCATTGTTTAAAGAGCTAAACGGAATAAAGTTTCTGACACAGCGGTTATTTGATGATATGAATTCACAACCTAACGAACGCAATACAGTGTAGATCGGTTCGAGAAGTAAATATGCCGCGCTTCAGCAGCACCCTGCTGCTGCTTGTCGTAGCGGTCGCCGTTTCCGCGTTCATCGTCGACACATGCGCCGCTGATGGCGACAGCAGCCGGCGCTTGCTGGCATCAGGTAGGTGTGCCGTCATTCAATCCCATCACATACATACGCATCAGGTAGGTGTGCCGTCATTCAATCCCATCACATACATACGCATCAGGTAGGTGTGTCGTCATTCAATGGTTCGTGCATTGGCGCACGTACGTACATTCGTTTTCCCGAGGTATACTCACCCTGTCCAGGAGGTAGGCCCTGGCACGCATGCATTTGCGATCAAGTGACATCTCCCCTGACGCGACATCGCCAGGAATCTGTTTACGCGGATAGCTAGCCCACGGATGATGGGTACACATGAGATTCGGCAATGGTGTACGGCGTCTGTCTGCGTTCTTATCGTCATAAAAGCAGCTACTTCACGCCCGGCGTCTGCACGAATCCCTGACCCTGATTACAATAATATTGGATAACACCAGCTCTACGTGCGTATTTCTAATTTTTCATCAAATGCTGCTAATAATCTACCGACTTGCTACGAATTGAGACGAGCTCCTGAGGACTCGTTCCTAGACCATTCAGGGCTTGCTAGAGGTATATGTGCGAGATCAAAACGCAGCAGCGCATGCGTATGGGCAGCACCTGGGGGCCGATTAGATCCTTTGTAATGCCCCTCGTTCACTTCGCCTTGAGCAGGCTGCCCGTACACCATTCAAGCTGGTGACACCTTTTGGGCGATCGCTCAGCGGCGCGGCACCACCGTGGACGCCATTCAGTCCTTGAACCCGGGAGTTGTCCCCTCCGGGCTGCAAGTCGGCCAGGTCATCAATGTGCCGTGCTCAGGAGGAGGGTACGTACGCACATCGATGTATGTTGTTACAGGGTGGTTAACTTCGCCAGCGGCCCCCTTTCCCGGGGCAGTCCCTGCTCTCCCCTGCTAGAGGGCCACCCTAATCCGTCACCCCATCCGACTTCAGAATGTATTCGTTGGGTTCAGCAACTCACCACCAGCACCCAACCAAATTTAGCGGATCAACGGCGCCACAACTTAGTTCCTGGTCAGCTCGCAAGTTGATATTATCGTGTCCTATATTGTCCATAAGACGGGGGAACACCTCCCATATCAACACTCCTCAAACACCCAAGGAGTTGGCAGGCGCATTTGAACCCGAACATCGATGTATACATTAATGAGCACCGCCGACCACCTAATGTTCCAGAATCTACCGAGTGCAGTTGCAGTCGATTCATTAATAATAACTTCTATTCGTGCTGATATTAGTGCATTTCCGGACACGACTTTCGGGCCACCTATGGCCAAAAGGAATGAACTTGTGTGGGCAGCCAGAGCGACGTGAATCCCTTCCTTCTTCCCCGGGCTGAAAAACCCAATCACTTTATTAGTTTTTTAAGGAATTCGATTTCTTATCACCAAGAGCACAGTGCCTCTAATCAATCCCACACGTACCGTGTGTGCCTGCTGGATCAGATCAACGCCGACCTCCACTACTCCAGCTGCCAGCGGTAAGCACATGCACTTGCTTGCTCGCAGGTGGTGCAGATATATAGATACATGACTGCCCGTTTAAACATTGATTGTGCTAAGGGAATATTGTCAGGAGGAGGCGCAATAGATAGTAGTGTGGAAGTGGTGACGGCGGAGCCATCGTCTGTCATCCCCAGCAGTCCGGAGGCGATCCATCGTAAATGAGAGGCGGTGCTATTGCGAACACAGCTGACGAAGGATCGTCTACAAGGGGATTACCTAGGCCTATGGCTAGCTCGTTCTTGGGTGTCATCCCACTTGCATTTTGCGTTTGTTGAGTGTTTCAGAAGTAGGGGGTAATAAAACAATCAGCCTTCGCAGCAATTCTATTGTGAATCTATAAACCCTGAACCAGCTGCTGAGTAAATTAAAACAGTAGTGAACTAATCAACTCTAAAGTCCCCCTCTGAGAAACAGCGGCGGTACTTTCCTTTATAGCTGTTGGGTGCGACCGCTGAGGCTGCGCTGTTGTATTTTACTAAAATTTAATAAAATTGAACTAGACAATACAGAGATTAATCCTTGCCAGGTGGGTTTCCAACTGGCGCGTAGTGCATTGTGTCGAAAGTGCAGCTTTGGTTCTGGTGATCACGCACCTGTGACCTACGGCAATACACCTACCCTGCAGGACTGGTCATTTATTTATATTTTCCACAGCTGCCGCAAGGCCGTGACTACATGAAGCAAGGTTGCTAGCTGACTGGCCTACATACGTAGGATGTGATTGCCCCTTTACTTAGTCTCCTTTGCATTTGCTTGTTCCCCCAATTCAATTCAGCAGCACCAAGGAGCGGCAGCGGCTGCCCGTACACCATTCAAGCTGGTGACACCTTTTGGGCCCTTGCCCAGCGGCGCGGCACCACCGTGGACGCTATTCAGTCCTTGAACCCGGGAGTTAACCCCGCCGGGCTGCAAGTCGGCCAGGTCATCAATGTGCCGTGCGGCCCTTGAGGTCCTGAAAGACGGACGAGGGTACGTACCAACAGGTCTGTTCCGAAAACAACATATGATGGCAGAGAGGCATTTATTCTCCTGCGGCCGCTTTTCCCTTTGCTGCGCATCCCTGAGTGTGTTGGAGGAATTCATGGGGCCTTGCTCGCTCTTCCCCGCCCGGATTGTCCGCAGTATGGCGATAATGCATGCGATAGGAACGTGAATTACCGTGCAGAAGGTCGGGGTCGCTGTCGTGATAGGAGCAGCGCTGCCCGCCCGGCGTTGTAGGCCCTTGATCCCCGTTTCTGTGAAGAAGACATTTGTATGGAGCGCCGCCAGGCCGCGTGGCTAGACAAGGTTTTGTGAATGTATGTTTTCATCTGCTGCGTGTGTGCGTACATGCAACCTCGCTCTATCGATCTGATATGCACCGTCTTCTGTCGCCGACCTAATTGCAGCACCTACCTGTCTTGTGTACTACATGCATTGATGCATCGTAGTAAGACAGACTTACAGACGCTCGCAGATCAGTCTTTGCCATGTCCATTCCTTTCCCCTGGAGACCTGCGGCCTTGTACTAATTCTTTTAATCTCGTGTCACTAATTGCATGTGATTCAGTAGCATGCAAGTTAATCCTAGTATTAACCCCCCAAGCGTGTGCATACTCCCCTGCCCGTCACACTTCGCCCCACTCTGTCCCCCGCCGCCCATGCAGTGGTGGTAGCAAAGTCCTTTACTCGGGATCAGGCAGTGGCACCTACTACTACGACCTGCGCACCACGTGCCCCCAAAACCCCGGTGGCTTCCCAGAGAACAACGGCTACAGGGTACCCCTACTCCATCAGCACCTACCTATCACCTACCAAGATCCTCGCACAGCGGCTGGGCGTTAGTAACCTCAATAAACCGCTGTACATGCTTCGCTGTATATGTTGACGTTGGGTTGCCTCGACATGTGTAATAGTGGATAGGTGCGACGCGGCATTCTCAGGCTGGTTGGAGTGGATTGGGAAACTCCGCAGTAAATAAATGAAAAGGCAGTGGAACCGCCCTGAATGCCAGCTACCCGAATTAAACCCTGTATAAACACTGTGTAGGCACTTAAACATCTTGACAGACTCCTCATCCTTTGCATCCAACCTCTTGTATAATGTACGTACTGTCAAGCAACTTAGCAGGAGATTAACTACCCGTCAACAAAGCTTCCGGTCAACTCGCAAGTTACCATCAGCCGTTAACCTTTACCCGTCCATCAGCCACCACCACAGTTGATGAGGTTCGTAATCGGCTGCTTCATACCCAGCTAGTCCCAACCTAGCTAAAACCCAGCCCAGCTAGTCCCAACTTCTGGCAATTTAAGTCCTGTAAGATATCCTTGCACGCATGTCAAAACCGCACACGCGAAATATGTTTACGTATGTGTCTATGCACCATAAACCTATTGTCACAACATAGTCCGTGAACATGCGTCGCGCTAGCTACTCTTACTGGTCAGCCATGATCTTGACAATTCCACGCCCACGCCTCTGTCACGCACATCAACGGACAGGTTTCTAGTTATCGTGGATGAGGAGAACGGGAAACGAAGCAACATCATTTAACCGCTAAATGGTTCGAGCCCAACGAACAACCGAAAGGACAGGACGAATACCTGTGGTGTGTGTCCATGCTGAGTCCAAGAGCGGCAATACCAGAGGGATTTTCTGTCTGAAATAGCTGATTGCTCAAAAAATAAGTCGGCGGCAAAACTTCAGTCAAGGAAAGGTACAAAGCACAAAACCTCGGTCGTCAATTCAGCGGAGCTGATGGCCCGGCCGCCGCCTACAGGTGCCGCGAACTATGCGCTTAACTATGCGAGTGGAGTGTATGCGTGCTCATGAGCTCTGGGACCTTCCACAGGCCCAATATATGTTTGATAAACCAGTACATTCTGCCGTAGAATTGCGTGGCATTGCCGTACGGCACCGACTCGACGTCCGCTCAGCAACGCGCCGCAGCACCATCCACTCCATTTAAATGTGCGATAATGACACGCAGTACGGCGCAAACCTCTGTCATTGTCCGTCTTGTACACTGCTTAGCGGCCCCTAGCGCCCGCCACAGCGGGAACACTAATTCTGTTAGAAACCGAAATCAAAATACCAGCCCAGCTTTTCACTTGGCGGAGCATACATGCATTGCAGCGTGCGCTCTTCAGGGTACCCCAAATATCCATCCGCCTCCATCGCACACGCCTTCTACACCAACACCCGCTTTCGTGTCATGCCCACGCTACGCTGACGCAAGAGGCGCACCCGAACCGGCGGCGCCGCCAGCGCCGACGCCGTGCCGCCGGGCAGCGACCAAGGCGACCCGTGGGTCAGTCGCCCGCCCACATCCAGTCGCTCCACGACCATGGCCACCTGGATGACCTCCTGCATCCCTTGCTGCTGTTGTTGCTGCCCAAGAGATGGCTGCTGCTGCTGCTGCCGCTGGCCGTGGTGCTGTGGCGTTTGTGGAGGCTGTGATGTACTGTGCCAGGTACAGCTATGGTCTCCGCCGCCGCCATCGGAGGCTTCAGCGCGGGTGCCACCGTCACTACACGCTCGGACGAGCGCCTGCCGCTGGCCGAGCCGTTGACTTGCGGCCGAGCCGCCGTCGCTGCCGCCGTCGCCGTAGCAACCGAGCCGTCCAACTTCCGGATCCGAGTCCCAGCCCACCTCGGCAGTGCTGCAGCACGAGACGGTGTAACTGTGCTTGACCCCTTCCTCCTGCTGCTGCTGCTGCTGGCCCTGTTGCTGCCCCAACTGATGACCAAAATGTCGATGGTCTCGTCGTTGTTGTTCTTGGGCATGGTGGTGGACGTGCATCGCCGTTCTGTACAGTCCTAGCGACGGCCACCGGTCGTCATCACTTCCAACGTACCTGCCGAGCCCCTGCTCCTGGCCTTCCCTATCGCCATCTGACACCTGTTTTCCCGCCACATCCGCCGCTGCCGCTGGCATCTGCATCCTGGGCATCTGTTCCGATGGCGGGGCTGATGGTGCGAGCCCGGCAGCGCAGGCGCCGACGCCGGCACTGAGGATGGTCGCGTGCCAACCGCAATCCTGACGCATAGACCACGCCTCGACCATCTCCGTTATCATCGGTAAAGGTGAGGACCCTGGATCACGTAGGTGCCATGGACGATCGCACTGCGCGGAATCCGGCTCCGCGGCCTCCGCTGCCATTTCTGATGTTGATCCGCCAGCAGCACTGCCAGCGCAGGATTTCGGTGGGACCCACGAGCCTTCCCCTGAGGACAGTGCCAAGTCTGCATTGGGAGCATGGGGCTGGAGCGGAGGCGCCGTGCCGAGTAAACGCCTGTGAGGTTCATTGACCAAAGTGGGCCGGATGGTCAACGCTTGCAAGGCTAATTGCGTGTCGTGGCGTTGACCGGTGAAGCATTGTATGACGGGCCAGCGATACTGGATGCCGCACGGCGGATTCTGATGTGGGTCTGCTGCAGATGTGGCCGGGTAGGAAGAGGACACCGAGGAGCGCTGGTCAAAGGAACAACAAAGTCGGATGCGTCGGCCAAGGTCGGATGCCGATGGGTTCGGGCACGGGGCAACCACGTTGCTGCTGTGAGAGAGAGGCGCAGGGCGACCTTGGCATGAGGTGAGAAGGTTGGCAGGTAGTGGAGGTTTCGAAATGCCGAGTAGCCTGAGCAACGCCGCAGGCTTGCCAGTCAGGCATGGCTCGGAGCTGCTCCGATGCAGCGCAAGCTGCACGTCGGCAGCTGCGCCACATTCCCGTGGCTCCTCCGTTGTTGCTATGTGCTTGGGAATATGGGGGCGAGTTTCGTAAGGCAGTCAAGCTGTTGCTACTTTGAGCGCCGACTGCCGGTCCACAGCCTGCAGTCAAGATGAGGTTGTTACCTGAAACATCCATATGAAAGCCGTTAAAACGTTATTTGTGCAAAGGACAGTTTTCGGGACTAAATTTAGGGATAAAAGCAGTCGCTTGGAGGGGATTCACTCCCCACTCATGATAGCTGTGCACCAAGGAAGGAGCCTCCTCGCAGTCTCGGTGTCATGATTAACTTCCCGATAGAACTCGAAGCTGCCCTGGTATTTGGAGAACCCACCTCAGGGTCCAGCGAGGCTTTTAAGTAGCTTCGCCTCGACACGATAAGATAACCTTCCACCACGACACTATCTAGGCAACAGAAATCCACTGCATTAGATCTGTCAAGATCCTCCAAAGCCGGCTCTAATCCCAAAAATGTTTCTTACTAGCTTATCGACTGCTGTGAAGCAGTCTAACTATGGACAACATTCCCTTCCGAGCTGTGTAAGTAATGTACATGACATCTACTACATGGGCATCAGTAATTACATTCAACATCAACCTGTTATCTGAGACCCAAAGCTTAGGAGTAGTAAACGTATGAGTACGAAAGCTCTCGGTGACAGTTGAGAGTTGACGCTGGTTAACACGTTGTGCGATCTAACATCAGACACCGCATTTCAATCATCTGTAGAGCGACATCAGGATTTTATGGTCTCAAATGTGCATCAGCAGTCTGCGTTTTTAGGTCAGATGACGCGCTGGCCAACCCCCAAACGCCATGTTTCCAATTCATTAGTCCATCATTGTGATTAAGGATTGTGCTCTATTGCGTGATTGCAAACGACTGTGGGCTGAACTTCCTGTTCACAAATTGCACCGAATAGATTAGCAGACACACTCTTTGGCTTCCCGACACTGCTTTCCACATGTCAGGATTCAATTTTTTGAACTTTTAGGATTCTGTTAGATCACCGCTGGTCGCGGACTTTGGGGATTGTTCATTGTTGTCGTCACGACTTCCAGTCGGTTAGGAGCTTGGCGGCCACCTCATTTCTCATCTTCTGCAACGTTCCCTTCGCTCTCGACAACGGACATTTAGCTTCCTTATGGGCACCTTCACTGGAGCTTTTGTTGCATCCGGCTTGTTCCCGGCTGCAGCTGCGCATCCCCGCCGGCCTGCTGGCCCACCAGGCCGCATGCTGAATGCAGCCATAAAGCTGACGTCGTCTACCTCATCATTATCACCAACAACATTAGCCGATCCTGATGCTACTGCTTTCGTCACAATGACCGTGGTGAATTGTTGCCAAAATGCTCCTAGACGCTGCCCCCTGACGCCACGGCCAACGTGGCAGCATCCGGGCCGGAATGCTATCACGGCAGGCGTGCAACGTACCTGCATCCCCAATAGCAGTCCAGATACAGGCGCCATCGAGAGCAGCAGCACAGGCACCGACATTTTGGACAGGGCGGAACGCGGACACTGCCATGGCGGCGGCGGCAGCGGCGGCGGTGGCGATGGCGCCAACCGTCCCGGCCATGGCACTAGCAGCGGCGACGACGGCGACTGGCACGATTCTGGGGGTTTCGCATTATCGATGCTCATCGATTGCGGCGCACCGTTGTTGACGGTGGCCGCCGTCGCAGCTTGTCTTGCGCTGCCGGCACCCGCCACCGCCGCAACCACCCCTTCCTCCATCTCCTCCTCCCCACCCTTCCCTGCAGCATCGACGCCACCTCCGCCGTCCGCCAGCTTAACCGCTGCCGGACGCAGCGGCGGTGGCAGCTCCTCCGCTTGGGCTGCCGTGGATGCCACCGCAACCGCAGCCAGCAACGGCGATGAGCACTCTTCCTCCTTATCATCACCCTCACAGCCCCAGCAGCGGGTAAAACGTTTGTTGAGGGAGGCGTTTGCGGAGCTCACGGAGCTGCGGCTGAGGATAGAGACTCTGGAGGCGGCGGGGGCGGCGGCGGCGGCGGGGGATAATGCCCTGGTAGTGCCGTTGGAGGGCTTTTCGGTCCGACCGGCTGCACGGGCGCTGGCACCCGGGACGCGGCTCAGATGCAGCGCGCAGGTGAGGACCGTGGTTGGGGGTTAGGTGATTGCTCGAACGGTTTCGGAGGTGAAGATGGTTGGAAGTGGTTGGAGTGGTTGGCTGGCGTGTGTTCGATGCTGTTGGTTGTATTGTATTCTGCAGCCGGGGATGTTGGACAACGCCGTCAGCGACAGAGATACAGACGGAGATACCTCTCGGTGTACCGCCAGCCGTTAATATTGTCATATCTTCATCAAATTCCCCCCCGCGGGTTCCCCCATTTCCCTCCCAATAGGTCAGTGGCCAGGTCGACACCCCCTTCCTAGCACCAGTTGCGGCAGCAGCCACCACCGCCACCACCACCGCTGCGACGGCGGCGGCGCCGGCGGCTGAGGATGGAGATGAGCATAGGAGGGGAAGCGATGGCGGCGGCAGCCTTTCGCTGCCGTACAGCAGCGACGGCGATGACCCCTCCTTTTGGAGTGGCCTCACGGCGGCCGCGGGGCTGATCGCCAAGCCGCAGCTGCGTCTAGCAATCCAGTCCCTGTGGGGGAATAAGCACGAGGACGCCGCCGCCGGAGGCAGCGGTGGCGGCACGGCGGCGGCTGCCGCCGCCGCCGCTGCCGCCGCCGTCGCCCCTTTGAGCCATAGAAGAGGCGGGAAGCAGCAGCACCAGCAGGAAAATGACGATCGGCCGGTAATGGCGGCACATTTGCAACTAACAACGGAGCCAGGGGGTCACAACCTGCAGATTGACAAGGTATGCGCCATGTACGGCAGGTTGTCATGCAAAAAGCGGGTCGTGTACCGTAAAAAGAGGGGGACGGTGCGGCGTGCGTTCATTTCTTGACCCCTGCAGACACATCACGGTGTCACAGGCCGCGATTCCACGGCACCGACCCATCACCCATCACCACCTAGCCCACGTCCCTTTGTGGGTCCTCCGGGTTGCTCACACAGACCCTGGCCGGCTTCTGTCCCGTCGTAACCCCACCCCGTGCACATTTACCGAATGCTTTTAACGCCTCCAGCTCCTTCTCAAGGCCGAGGCCCACCCACGACTACGACTGCTGTTAGCGACCCACGGGTCACTTGAAAACATCGGGAGGAACGTCAACCCCTTTGCAGGTACGTGTCACTTACAAGGGGCTCCCGATATGCACAGGAAGGCATTTCAATTAAGGCCCGCACGTGTTTGTAAGTGGATGTGTGTGAGCGCTTCGAAGAGCAAGAAGGGTTTACGTTGGGAATCAGGGAATCGATTTTAACATGTCTATTTGTTCGTTCACCTAGACTTACATACACACACATTATCTTTGTATCTACATCTCCTGCCAACGTCTCCATGCACGTCTTGATCCCAAACGCCTGACGTGCCGCTGGCTGTCGCCTCTAACTTCCCTCCACCACCACCAACAACAACAACAACCTCCCCGCAATGCCAGCTGGCACGGGCCTCCAGCGGGGGCTGACGACGGCGATGCGGCGAGGTCACGACCTCACCGTACTCAGCCAGGCGGGCGGTTCCGGAGCGGCGATGGCGGCCGCTGCCGGGGACATCTCCCTGGCCGTGGGAGCCTTCTCGGCGCCCAGCAGCAGCGGCAGTAGCGGCAGCAGCAGCAGCGGCGGCGCCACCACTACCTGCGCCCAACTGTCGTTGCACCGCTCCCGGCGGTTAGCGCTGTCGGCGCTCTGGTCCAGCTGCGCCGCTGCCGCTTATAGCGGCGGCGTCGCCGCCACGGCCGCCGCCTGTGGCGGCTTGGAGGGCGATCGGTCCATAGAGTGGCCGGCGCTGACGCAACGGGGCGTTGTGGGTGAGTGGTGGAGCCCCGGGGTGGGAGTGGGGAGTGGGATGTTGGCTAGGGGAAGGCAGCCAAGGCAAGGTTCAGGTAGCCAAACGCCAGAACCGTTTTTCTTGTTCTTTAGCAGAGCGCCCTCTGGCAACCCAAAGGTGGGTCGAGCAGGCGACCGGGGGGATTTTCAGGCGGTGCCAATGGCCTGCATTCGTCCATGCCTTTCCTCACTCCAGGTACTACCTCTTACGGCGTCGCAGTGCTTTTCCTGAACCCCTTTTAAACCCTATCTAAATGTTCCGCCGCCTCTCGTAGCGGCTGTGCAACCCACGGGCGGGCTGACGGCAGCTGTTTGGATGGGGGAAGCGACGTTCAACGCCTCTGCATCCCCAATCGGCTGCTGCACCGCCGTCGCACCCTTGCTAACCGGGGTCGGCATTGCCAACGTCGGCGGCCCAGACTTGAGTTGTCCGGCAGCGCCTTCCCCAGTGGAATCAGGTCAAGCTGAGCCGTGGTGGAGTGCGCGGCGGCGGCGGGAGCGGCGTGTGGGACTGCGTCTGGCTACGTTGCCTGATTTGGACACAGGCCGCAGCTATGCGGCGTGCGTGAGCCACCGAAGGGTGGGGTGGAAAAGGACGGACGCGGCTGGAGGAGGGGACGTTGGAGGAGGGAACTCCTGTGTGTGGGTGGCGGAGCTGTCTGCGGCTCTGCCGCTGGCACATGGTGTGATGCTGACTCCTGGACTTGTGCTGGTGCGGAGAAGAGGCAGCACTGCAGGTGCCGGAAGCCGGACGCTGCTGCTAATGGCGGCGCAAACCACTTGGAGTTTCTGACCACCTTCTTGCTGGGGTAGAGGGTAAAGGCATCTGGGGGTGCAGGGAAGTATTTGCAGCTTAATCCCGTAGGAGCGAAGCGACTATAACTTTTGGATTGGGTTGTGTACGGCAGCCGTATGGCTGTGCATTTTTCGGGATTGTCATTTTAGCTTGACAGCTCCATAACTTTGGTAACTTGTCTACACTTATGGAGCCTGTTGTTATCCTCAGTCCTCTCCCGCCCGATTCCGCCATTGCGCTAATCCCGGCATTTGAAGGGTGCTTTATTACAGCAAGCCGTTTTAGGATATCCCTATAGTCTCTAATGTTCATAGGGGGGGACGATAGGACAAGGGGAGAACGAGGCCGAGGTCGATAACGTCTCGAGGAAGGCAGCTGGGGCCGCAGCCGGGGCAGTAGTGTTAGGGCACGGGGCAACAGTCCACCAAGCCAGAAGATGCGGGGTGGTTGATGGATTCGAACCAGGACCACCAGGCTTGAGATTGTGTGATGCGTGGATTTTGACCAGATGCTTGTGTGAAGAGAGATGGGACGTGTATGTGAACAGTCTTTCACGGATCCGATTTTGACCGTTACAGATCCCCGTCTTGTACACCAGTCAGGTACGAAAATTGGTGGGATGCCATGTGTAATGAACGACTTGGGTACAGCAACAAAGCTGGCGGTTGCAACCTTTATCGTCACGACCGAAAAGTTATGCATAAGTCATAATGACTAAGTGCAAGCCAAGCCAAAATCCAATACCATGTTCGCCACAAGCCGTTGTCACAGCTCATCTCCATTGCACTAAACAATTCAACATTTAAACACATTTTTATGCACACCATTGAAAAAATATCAAGGATTAAACGCATAGCTGTAGCCCCCACAACTTGCTTCCCTGCCAGCTTTAACACAAGGAAACAATTCTTTTGTTCCAGGATTAAACCTCGGATCATATTTGGGTTAGCGCTAACTGAGCGAACAATGGACACAATCCAGTCCACTCAGTCCCAGTACTAGCATACTTACTCGTCACCCTACACACTGCACACAAACCCATCTCTTACTCTAACGGCTTGATTCTTGCAAGATGGCAACGTCGAAGACTGGAGCACAAGCCCGACTAACCCGAAACTATGCAGCCGTAGCAGCTTATCTCACTCCAACCCGTCTCCTACGGGCAACTGGGTCAGGCCATTACGTTCGTTCCAAACGCACGCAAGGCCTGGAGGTCTACCAGGCCACATGCGGACAGCTGGACGCGTCATCCAGCTACTTCATTTGTTTCACTAGTCCGGTCCATCATTAAGAAACACAATAAAGAACAGAACGACACGATGCGATTAAGATACGACTCAGCCTGCATGGCCCTAACCGCACGCCAACACGTTCCGCGCCGTCCAAGCGAGGAAGCGTGCGCCAAGGGCCGCAACGAACAGAATACATGTCCGACCACTTTGTCTCCCGAGGTAGCACCAACCCAAGGTAACGCCCAAAGAACTGGTTGCTAACGCAAAGCCCGCTCTCCACCTGGCGTAATTCCGTGGGTCATTCAAGGCACGCCGACAGACCTGAGCTTTCTACGCTCTAGCGGTCCGGGGGCTGATTTTTTTCGACATTTTAGGCGTGACTTCACGCTTATAAGCGTTGGCTGTAGGACAATGGAGTGCTATGCCAAAGCCTTTCGACAGGATTGTCACACAGCCACAAGCCCGAGCACATGTATGCCTAGTAGCAAACAGCAAGATCAGATTCAGAAGCTTTACCGATGCTTTACCGATGGACTCGGCAGGGCACACTTATCTAGGCGCACACCAAACGCCACGACATCTGTGCGCATTGCCTCATCTAACAACTCAGCATGCATCCCCAAAACGCTATTTCGCGTATAACTGGGTTGACGAGTGGAATCTTGCAAGATCAACGTAGCAGTTCGTCTCCCTGCCAAAGCACGCTCCTAGGGACCGTGCAGAAGTGATACCGGTTTGCTGTCCTCCAATCGCCGCACTTTGCCAGGCGGCGCAAGTACTCCCATACCAGCGGTAATGCTACCTGCAAGCTCGGTAGTTATGCCGTCTTCCCTGATACGTTTGCCGCATTGGTAAGGCTGCGATTGCGGCTGGCTGCTTTCAAAGCTGGGAATATCTAAGGAAGGCTGCGGCTGCGTGGGCTGCGATTGCAGCGGTTGTATCTGGGCATCGGTTCGGCTACATACCTCCGGCTGACCTTCCGCGGCGCCACATCCACTACCCGACGCGTTGCCAGTGGTGAGACCGTTCGGGCTACAGTTCTCATTTGCAGAATCCTCCAGCCCGTTGAACACTGGGCACGGACCAGACCCGGGTGCACAGCGTTGCCCATCCACGTCTGCCTCCGGTTGCTGCTGCTCAGGTACTGTCTGCAGCTCCGAGGTGGCCTGCTGCTCACCACCAGTGCATTCATCGCCATCACTAACGCGCTTGCCACCGCGAAGAGGGTGCTGCAGTGGCAACACCTTCTGCCGTGGCGACGGTGAGAGAGCGCCAGGGGTGCCGCCGGCTACCGCACCAGCTAATGCTGCAGCAGCAGCGGAAGGATTTGGCTGGCCTTGCCGACAGCAGGGAGTCGTAGTTGTTGCGCCTGCCTCGGTATTCACGGTCGCTGGTGAACCTGGCCGTTGTGGCGCCATGTCAACACCCTTTCCTTCGGCTGATGACACCTCGTTGTGAACATGGTGCGTTGGAGCCAACATACTGGAAGTCGGCACCGTCACTGCTCGACAATTAGCAGTGGCCGCTCTCAATGTTGAAGCTTCGTGCCCCCCAGCGTTGAGGTGGTCGTCAACTCTATGTGAACCGGCGGCTCCAGAAGACTTCAGGCGCGCCCCTCCGCCTTGGCTCTGCTGTGATTGTGGTTGCTGTTCCAGCTGCGGCAGCAATCCACCTGCCGCGGTGGCGTGCGGAGGCTGACTTGCTTGGCCCTGCGGCTGCCGCTGCTGCACTGGAGGCTGCGCTGGTGCAGTGGCGTACAGCTCGTTGATCTGTGCCTCAATACCTACGGACACATACCGGCATGACAAACACAAGCAGGTTTAACATAATGGCAATTCTCAGGCCTTGGAAATAGTACTTTGGATTGCCGCGCGGCATGCAGGTATAACCAAGTGCAACACCGTGGCGAACAAGCTTCCCGCTAGACACCAACATGACAAGCGAAGAATTGTTCCCACGCCCACCCAGCGTACCGGCAGCGGCCTCGAGGCTCAGGCCCTTGGATTCGAACCATGCAGCATCGTTGGCAAGCGCTAGCACCCGCTGCAAAGCTGAGGGGATTTCCTTTCCAATGTAACGTGCAGCAGCTATGCGCTTGGCAGCCATGATTAGCGCAACCGGTGCTATTTTGGAATTTGGATACTGAAGCGACAAGTTCGTTAAAGCGCTGTCGTTGAGGAAGAACATTACCGCCCCGTACAGACTCAGTTTCAGCTGGTTGGCCTCAATCTCCTCGGGTGCTGGATTTGCCTTGGCCCACAAATCGAGCGGCTCGAGGAGACGTCGCGCAAGGCTGACGTGCGTCTCAACATTGAGATTGAAGTTCAAGGAGAAGAGAATGGCCTGCTCGGCCAGCATGACTCCCTCTATGAACTGCTCCAACGTGGTCTGTTGCGCGCATGTGGGAAAGCCAAACGAGCTTAAAGTCTCGTGGAGGTTTCACTTTGCATGCTGCGATTCCAGGCAGGCAAACAACAATAATCCTGTCCAAACGGACCAAGACTGCTTGGTTGCCGAGCCTCTTAGACAACTACAGAACAATTTGCGGGTCTGGTGCAATTTTGCATTCCAAAATTGTTTAGCCCAAGGCGAGAACGCCGGAACAGACCTGGTCCGGGCCAAGCTGCGGCTTCTGCTTGTTGGCATGCTTAAGCTGCAGCAGGACATACGCGACGTCCTGGACTGGGCGAGGACTCTCCTGCACTTTCGAGGCCAGTAGAACCGCGCCACCGACCACCAGCTGCGGTGACGGCCAAAAGAAGGGGCACAGACGGCCTCATTTAATAGGATTGAAACTAAATAAGGGTTGACAGAGCGAAAGCTGAAGCGCATGCTAAAAAAGCGGTCTGGGTCCGCGTCCTGACTTCCACGCGCCTCCCAGCGTCCCGGGCCCCGGACTTACGTGCCGGTCGTTCTTGCCGATGGAACGCGTGAGGAAGAAGCGGTTTATGTAGTTCATCGAGGTCTCGTAGACCCAGTCGGGTCTGGTGGTGGCACCGCAGCCAAAGCGGCAGGGTCCAGAACATTGAGATCGGCGGCAACTGACTCAGCAAGAGTTGCGGCCCTGAAAGACTTACAGCTTGAGAGTTTTGATAGCCGTCTTGACAAGCTTTGAGGTGGTGGAGCGCCATCTGGCTTCAGCAACGGCATCGGTACCCTCACGTCTGCTAGGATTGGAAGCTTCAAGCTGTGCCCTCGTAAAATAGACTGCACCGCCAATTAGTCTTGTTTGCATAGCCGGACTGGGCAGGCAGGCTGACAGCAGGCAGGAGACGCAGGCTGGAGGCGCCGCTTCTCCAAGCGCGCTTCTCCTTTCCGCTGACTCTCCAAAAACCTTTAGGTAAATGGACAGGACTGCAGGAGCAAATTTACAAAATACTTTATAAACTTCAGCGTATGTGTGACAGGTTGTGGCTGCATGACTCTTGCAAAACAAACGGGAAGTCACCATTCTCGTACAGAATGTACGGAACCATTAAGAGCGCGAAGGCAGAAACCTCCATGCGCTTTCAACAATAATACGTATGGTACATTTCGCGTTACTTGGTGGAAGGGCTCTCCTTTGCGTTTTCTGATGAAGTTCATCAAGTCGCATCCAGAACATTGCAGGATTATTATGTAGGTGCTGCAACTTTTCAACATGTCAACAACGCCCGGCACGCTTCGTTCATGACCACAACATGGGGGCGTTGGGGGTTCCAGGCCATAAGCTTGTTTTATTGAAGCAACATGAAACACTGGAGCATTTTGATGTAAAGGCATGACACATGTGCCATTGCTGTCGTCACCTGGCTTGATGGGGTGTTACACTGTGGGCGGCTCGTCCCGAGAAAGGACGAGCACCGGGGGCCCCGAAACATAGCGCAGGGGCGAGCTCGTGGCTACGCCCGTCTGTTCCTCCGTGCGCGCCTCACTCCCTCACTCACGCCAGCCGGGGCGCTCTCCCAGCCCCTGGCTAGGCAACACAGCGGCGCAGAAGACTGCGAACCGAACTAAACGAGAGCCGCGCAAGAGGCGCCGCACCACTAAACAGGAACCATAAATAGGCTACCTGGCCTCACTTCGCCTGGCCAGCCTATTCGGCTTGTTGCATGCGTCGGGCGTTAGTACTACGAAGTTTGGGGCGAGTTCGGTTTGTGGAGAAGGCAATAGACACGCATTAGCGGACTTCCGTTCCGCATAGATGCGCTGGGCATCATCAAGGTATATTCAAGCCAGCAATAACATCACTGCGTAGTCACTTAGGACAAGGACGCTATGGACGATAGTTAGCAAGCAGGGTAGGCCGTGATCAACACGTTGGCGACGGTTGAACCACCTAGGGTCTTAGTCCACGCGTGCTTGTAGTGATGGGCAACAGGGCGTGCCACTTCCAAAAGCCTACTGAAACATTGCTCCCGAATGGAAAACCTCTCCGAGGCCACGCAATCAGGTCAGGATTAGGGGTAGTCCATGCGAATATCGTACAGGTTGTACGATGCGTGCTAACCAACAGGTCTTCCAAAGAGCTGCAGGGTTGCTGTCTTCAAACATCTTTTTTAGATTATTGCACGGGAAAGAGCTAGCCTAGCTGTCATCCATTTTACAACGGGCGCTCAAGGTTTGGCCTCCTCGACGGGGGGGTCTCCTTCGGCCTCCTTCATTATTTGTACCCTGAACTGCCACAACGCACCGCCGCGGAAAGAAATCCCCAAAAAGAATGCTAAAGTTACTTTAGGACGCTTAAACAGTCGACAAATACCTCGGTTGGGGTGAAGCGTTGTTTATTGGTTAAGGCCTTCTTTGCAAATATGTGGAGTTTCTTCATCTTTTCTATGGTCATTGTCTTTGGGGCAATTGTTCTGCTGTGAGTCCTGCGGAGATTGGTTAGCCAATTGTTTTAAAGTCGACCTGGTCACAACAGCTTGGGCCGAACATGCAGGCTCCGGCGATACTGTGCGAATTCTGTGGTATTCTCTGTCAAGGTCACCACAGCATATGCTTGGCTCACTGCCATGGCAGTGGTTGCAATCGTGCCTTTGGACGTGTACTCCACGCTTGACAATAGTAAACCAAGCGAGCTGGGCGTCATGTGGAATGTCGCTTTCTGGTGAGGTCACGCCAGCGCCATAAGAGTTCAACTGTGTGCCGGTCTAGGGGAAGATGCGTGCGTCTGTCCAGCTGTCATGTGTCCAGCTGACACCGGAGGATTTCCCGGGCTGCAGGTCCACGCAGATCCTCACATGGCTACTCCTTCCATTTTTCCAGTACTATTCGGATGCGGGAGATTTTACGGTGAAGGGCAAGTAAGCGGGTTGCATCGGGTCAAAGTTGACCGGAGAGGAATATCTCCAGCCCATCATGCTGCTTCGTTGCCGTCCTCGACGATTTTAATGGAATCGCGAGGCGACCGGGTGGACCAGTTAGCTGTAGTCACGGAGGGCCGTTAGGTTAGGTCTGTAGCATGAGCGGGTCTGCACCGCCCACACGGGTATAAAGGCAGTGCGCTGTTATCATCTCCGTGCCGATTCAAAGCCCTGTGCTGCCGTGTCCCCCCGCTATGACTGATACTCTCCGTCTATGTACAGCTGTCTCACACGCAGCTTGCCACTCTTCATCATCCAGGTGCATAACCAGCCTGAAGGAAAATGCAATATTGTATGGCTCCGTTGCGGCGGTTGGCCTTATCGGTAAGGTTGTTAACGGTTAAAACAGTTAAGGGGTACCACAGCGCGATGTGGCTGGGCAACGGTCTCGCCGGAAATGGCGACGGGGGAGGACTTCCAACAACGTGGGTTGGACGTTAGGCCCGGATCAGGCGTTTGGGGTCCACGACGGGGTTTCGCTGTCAGCAAATATATCCAAGTGGGCCAAGCAGAGCTAGGCTTACCCCGGGGCTGCCGAATGGGCGTCCATGCCACGATGACTCCTCCGGAATTACTGAGCGAGTTGGGCTGCATGCGCCCTTACTTGTGCAACTATTCCTGTACCCTGTTAGGATGAGGTTTATCTTTTGAAACTCCATATCCACGATTGTGGCAGGATACAGGTCGATAGGAACAGAATCAGCCATGCACCGGGCGCGTTATTGTGTGCATACGGAGCTTTCGGCCGCTTGGAGACGTGGAAGAATTATGCATTAAACTGAAGGATTTTCGGGCATAGGTGGTCGGATAATACGTAAACTGAATATATGTATAGACACCACAGCGTGAAGTCAGCAGAGGTAGTATGCATACTCTGATGTATTCGTTCAGGCGGACCCTGCTTCCCACCTGTAGCCCAAAACCTGGTCCCACCCTCTCCGGTTGCCGCTCTGTGCCCTCACACTGACAACGCGCCGCCGCCGGGAAGCATAGCCTGCCTTACTGAACATGACGCGTCTTCAGTCCCGGTCGATGGTGCTTACCTGGTTACCTTTTCTGCACCCTTCCGAGCAGGTGTCGCGGCGCTGCTCATTTCGAAAAAGATGACAATCGACGGACTCATGGGTCTGGGAATTGGCTTGTCGAACGCGTTTGGTGAGTCGATGCGTACGGCACCGTACCGTTCGGCGTCTGGGAGAACTAGTTGAGAGGTGCACTGGACGACCACACGTGCCAGGGATGTGCGTTGATGCATGATGCGTTGATGCAGAGTACAGCCACCCCAAGGTTTTTATTATGAGGTATGGGCCCTAGCGAACGGCCAGATGGACTCGTAGCAGCTACTACACTCTCTCTGTTGTAGCTGATGGCGGTTGAAAGGCCGCTGGGGGTGCCGGCAGAGCGCCGCAGCACGTTTCTATCGGTGCTGTCTGTATGTTTTCTGTGCTGTATGACAGGTACTACACTCTCATTAACAGCTTCACTCTTGTTAGTATTGCCCTAGGTAACAGGTGATTTTAAAAGTTATGTGCAGCCCGGGGGGCCATGCCATGTCGGGGGCATGTGTCGCGGGGATGTTTGTTGTTGGAGCATATTGCCCCCGCCGCTCGGCCGGGGCCCCCAGCCCAAACATGCCTGGCCGCCGCTTTGGAACAAAGACGCCATTTCCATGTGTCGAGTGTGTCATCATCATGTGTCGGAATGTCAAGGGCAGCGCTTTGCCACACGTCAGTGCCAGTGCTCTGAACGTGCGTCGTCTGTTCACGGGCCCGAAGTGCTTTCAGCCCCTTGCTTAACGTTCTCTCCGTCTTTTATGCCGCCGCGCCTTGTGCTGCCATCGCCAGGTCTCATAGCGAGCATCATCCTGCTTGGATACGGCCTGGTAGGTGCATGATGGGCCGTGCCAAGCATGTTGCCAGGGGATGCCATTGTACGGGTAGTTAAGTGCACGGAGGGTATTACGACATGTGTGTTGTGCCCGTTGGGGCTGGCAGCTCTGTGTACAACACGACGCAACAGGCAGCATGGCGCAGCTGTGAGGACATCAGCATCAAGGACGTTTCCTTTAGGCGCAGAACGAACGTGGGGTGGTATGCACGTGTTCGTGGCGTGCTGCGTAATAGGGCATCACTCCACAGCCATCTGTCCACCAGCATGAACCATAATGAAGCCGCCAACACCCTGATCCGTGCCCAAAGCGCATCCCTGCTTGCCGTCACCTTAAGCTCGAGCTTAGGCCCCCACACCGCCCCCACTCTTGCCCTGGCAGCAGCTTCAATCGTGTGTGGTTCGTCTTTCCCCCACACCGCACCGCACCGCACCTTACGCCGGCAGTAACCAACCGTGTTGGAAAGTGACCGAGACTCATATACCGGGGGTGGGGCCCGGCGCTTTGCTGGTCTTAACAAACCGCCCAGTAGCCACCGGTAGCTCCCCATCACCGCAACCACCACATCCTCCAGCAGCTCCCATGTCTTGACACTTTTCGTATTGATGGTGGACGACCATTACCTACACGACACGAGTGCATTTCCGGAAGCTACCACCGGACGGAAAACGCCAGGTCGTTTGTCGCAGCCGTCTTTGGCCGCCTTCCACGCCGCCTCCTCCGCCTGCTATTACTACTGCTACGCCTACGACTCCTATATTACTGCTATTACAACTGCTACGCCTACGACTCCTACATTACTGCTATTACAACTGCTACTGCTACGACTCCTACTACTACTGCTATTGCTATTACTACTGCTATTACTACTACGCAGGTGGAGATCCCTCGGAACCTGTGGAAAGCGGATCCGGAGCGACAACTCAAGTGGTGTGCCCACAGGTGAGCACAACGTTACTTAACGGGCCCATACACGCGCACAGCAACACCGGTTTAAAGGTCATGTCAAGAGTTCGCGTGCTCGCAGCGGTGATAACAAGAAGGAAAACGGGTTGATACCGTTTTCCTTTGCCCTCCCTTTCCCGCGGCCTGCCTTGCAGGGCTGGCAAGTATGCTGAGAAAGTTATGAAGAGCACAGCGGAGCTGGAGACGGTGGTGACCATTATTGCCGCTAACGAGCGGCAGATGCGGCGACACGACCCGTTGCGCAAATACATGGACATCATTGTCGAGCACGTGGAGAAGGTGCTGTGTGTCTGAGTCCGAGAGAGAGTGTGTGTATGTGCGTGTTACATGTTCGAGGTTGCCTTAGTTCCCGTGAGCCTTCATACCTGCTGCCCGATACAAGAGCCATGAAGTGTCTCAAATGCGTCTACTGCCTGTCTACGTGTATTATGACATATGTATGTGTCTGGTGAGGGGCGCAAGCCATTGAGAAAAGGGAAGGGGGTAGGAGGAAGGGAGGCGTACAATTACGACGTTGCCATCAAGTAGGCTGAAATGGGGCCTGCGGGGCCGGGGGGGGGAAAGCGGGAATGGTACAGAAAACCTCCCTCCTCGGACCTACGGGGCTAGAGAGCGCTCCCACCGGTCCCACCTCTTGAGCCCCACCTCCAGCAGCCTGGCCCCTTCCAGCTTACCCTGGCAGGTATCCCGGGTCCCCGTCGACTTGCGGGTGTGGGTCTGGGACGATAATACCTTGCGTTGACGGGTCAGGTCAGCAGGTCTTTGTCAGGTCCGCAGGCCGCATTGCCGTGTAGCGACCTTGCTTGCATGGTCTTGTGCAAGTGGTGTACTCCTTTCGGGTGCCCACACCGCCACACGCGACAAGCGGCTACAGTCGATGAAGAGAACACGACGCGCCAGGCATGTACGCACACGCACGCACGCACGGTGCCGTGGCAAAACCGCTGACCTGAGCCCCGTGGACCCACTGCCACAGGAGTCCCCCATCAAGCCCTCGGACCTAGTTGCCCGTGGCACCGCCTCGGGGCGATCCTCGGGCGGCATTGACATCGAGTCCCTCAATGCGGAGGACCTGGAGTATAACTACGATGTAGCGGGGCTGGCGGCCCTGCGGCGGAGGATGTTTTACGCCATCTCCACGTATAAGGGTATAACGGGCAAGGGGCGACGGGGAAGGAAAGGGGGAGGAGGGCATGAGAGGGGCATGAGGCCCGCGGCCGGCCCCTTTGCCCCGTTCCCTGGGTTGAGGGCGGGGGCCCCGGCGCGGGCGCCTTGGCTGCAACAGCAACTTGGTTGGCTGGCTGGCTGGGTGGTCTGGCTGGGGGGTGGGAGAGCGTGTTACCGCTGATGTCCAGTTGTAAGCGGTAATGCAAGTCGCTGCATCATCTCTACGATGTAAACAGGTAGACAAGGGAGCGAGGAGGTTCTTAAAGGGAGGGAGCCAAGTGGTGAAGCGATGTACCTCATGCTGCGCATACGACTACCTCCTTACTCGTTCTCCAAATTTGCTTCGTTTGCCGCTTCTTTTTACTCTTTTTCCTTGTGGTGTCAAGTACTGCCATCGCCTGGCTTTGCCGCCAGACTACGTACTTTGATGAAAAGAAGCGCACAGCACTGTGTCACATTTTCCGCCCTCTCCCCAACGCCCTACACACGGCGTCATGCGCCACGCGTCATGTGGTCGCGCGCAGGCGACCGTGCCCAGTACGAAGAGGTGATGCTCGAGGCATTTGAGTTGGAGGACGTTGTCAAGTGCCGCCAGCTGAACGAGTTCACGCCCCGGAAGCCCACACGCAGTCCCATCAAGAAGGTGGTCTGGTTCTACAAATGTGCGCTGCGAGCACACTGGCACCGGGTGGGTGCGTGGGGGGGGGGCGGGAGGTGGGTCGTGGGGGCCGGTCATATGAGTGGATGAATGGGTAAGGTGGTCACCACTCTCTGACCTCTGTGCTTGCGTGTGGCCATTACCGCCTCGCAAATGTCCGCCTAAACGACTACCTTCATCGAAGGCGTAAGAGGTAGAGAGATGGTAAGAGAATGCATTTTAAGCATAGTTTGCAATATTTTGCCGCTACTAAAGGTGTTATCGCCCACGTTTTGGGTTGTACACCGGGTAGGTGCCGCCGGGTATAGGGCCGGCAGCCCGACACCCCACGTGAAGTAACAGTGTGGCCTGGAAAGGCAAGGGACCATTGGGGTTTCTATTGCAGAGTTCATAGCCATGTGGGTGAACCCCCGCCCTGCCATATACAACTCAGTTTGCAGTCATCAGAAGTGCCTTTACCACCGCCACCAGTGCAGTAATGTTACACACCGATTCGCACTCTGTTAACAACAACCGCAACAACGCCGAGATCGGTCCATTGTCCTCCCTAATGCATCCGTACATATCGCCTCCAAGTTGACTTGTTTTTCTCCAGCGTCGGGACTTCCCGCTCTAAATGCCTAGCCATTTTTTTCTTCCCGGTCACTCACTGCTCAGAAAACTGCGCATGATGACAGTACCGTCTGGCGCTGTGAGATCACGAACTCGCATACACGCCTACATACATCTCCCAGTTGGTAATGGGAACTGCTTGGTTTTTGTGCTGCTGCCGTTGCTGTTGCTATTGCGCTACCAGCAGGTTCTTGCAGTGGTGTTTGCGTGCATGTCCGTTTTGATCGTGTGGGCGGAGGCCACCATCGTGTCGCCAGTGGACATTTCACCACTGTCGCTGATGATCAAGGGCAGCGAGGCCAACGAATTCGGGGTGCAGCTCATCACCTTGCTGCCGCTGGTGGGTGCGGTCGGGATGGGGCCGGTGGGGAGTGGAGCGGAGCGGGGTGGGCCGAGCGGGGCGAGGAGGCGTGACTGTCATGGATGACTTTTCGGTTTGCGAAGGCTGCGGTGGACGATTTGGGACCTCTATGTTATAGGAGGGTAGGAGGATAACCCAGCAGCGACGGGCAGCTAAATGGGCGGCTGGGACCCCGAGCCATATTCCTCACCGGTCAAGTGCTACCACCCAAACATCCCTCAAACCGCGTCGGTTTGAGGTTGAAGTTCACAGTTACTGCAGGGGATATTCCACGGTGGGGTTTTCCCTCCTCCTCGGACAACCATCCGCCCTTAACCAGCCCAGCCCGGCCTCTGTCCTCCACCCGGTCACCTGGCCGCAGGGCCCCCTTCCCGGCCGCTGGGCCCCCTCCCAAACCACCCATTCCGCTACCCCCTTACCCCATCCCTGCAGGCTTACATCTGTGCCTGCACCTACGCCGCACTGTTCTCCATCACCGCCTTTGACTACAATAAGCTCATCCCGCGTGCCACCATCGGCTCGTCGCTGATGCAGAACGGCACCCTCATGTGCCGCTTCGCCGCCCCCACCTGCTGGAACTTCTATCACATGGTCCGCATGACTAACCGCGACAAGAATGGTGAGGAGCTGAGGATATGGAGCCAAGGCTTGGTTACCGCCTGTATCACCACCTGCATGTTTCACCTCGACCATACCTCCCTCCCCTCCGCAATCTCTCCCCTCCCCCAACACAAAACACACACACACACGGGGCATCGGTATGTGTATCTGATGTAGCGGTGTAGCTGTTGTATGTAGATGCGTAATTTTGTGTGTGTAATTGTTTGTGTGTGTAATTGTTTGCACTGTCTTCGTGGGTACCGCGGACCCTGTTGTGTTGGACCATGCATCGCGCTGCACGGCGATGACGACAATGACAAAGAATTTTCCTCGGTAGTTCCTCAGTCACGTTTTTGTTAAGGGGTGGGTAACACCTTCATGTGCTCTTGATGCTCCCTGAAGGGAAAACGGCGTGGGTGAGGAAAGGGCACAAGAGAACCACCTCTTACCAAGGGGAGATTAACGGAGTACATGAGCCTGGGTAACATCTATTAGGCTACGTCCTGGACTGTCTTTTCTCATCCTTCATTACTACCCCTCCTTTCCCCGGGCTGTGCCCTGCTAGACGGCGTCAACACCGTGTTTGAGGACAAGATGGGTTCCATGGCCGTGCCCGCCTTCCTGAGTCAGCACCTCAACACCTACTTGCCGCTCATCTTGGTGGTGGAGTGCGTCATCACCGCCTTGAACCTGTGGGACAGAATCATGGGACTGTGAGTGCACCCCCTAGGTAACCTTTTAATATTACGCTGCACTAACTGGGCTGTGGTTTGGAGCCAGGGGAAGTGGGGAGCAGTTGAAAAAGGGGGGTGAGGAATACTGTGAGAGCCGAGGAGGTGCGCGAGCGTGTGTGATCCGACGCGTAACGTGACGTGGTTATCGTGAGTTATATGTGCGCTTCGATATATGAAATGCGATGCCGTGAGCCGTGTGTGCTTGCGCTGGCCGAGTGTGTATTCTGGAGGGGAGGGCCCTTTCCTGCATGGGCCCTCCTGGGAGGGCCCTTTCCTGCGCATGTCGGTTCACGCACCACCTGCTGAGATGTGGGTGCGCGTGTAACCATCATCAGACGCACAGCCTTCTATCCCCTTTCCCCCTTTCTTAAGGGAGCCCTTTCCTACACGGCCTCGGATCGCTTGTTGTTAGGGGAATACGGTCCCCGCAATCCTCACTATCTCTGCATAATCTCTTCCCAAACACCCAAACACCAACCCATCTGCCTGGGGCGGCCTCTCTGGATTCTTTTCTTCCTCCCACCCTGGACTCCTCTTCGCCCACACCACACCGCACCACACTACACTACACCACACCCTCCCACAGCTGCGTGTCCTCCAAGTACAAGTTCTCCAATGATGATGATGTGGATGATGAGTACACGGAGAAGGGCCGGCAGCTGGTGGCCCGGGAGCGGGAGGCGGTGGAGAAGGGATTCACCATCGGCCAGGTGGGGCCAGGGAGGGAACGGGGGCTAACGTCCCTGCTTCCACAGCCATTGGGGCTGGGAGGTCCAAGGTTCCTTAGGGGTTTTCCTCCTGGCTCGCCTGTTCGCCGGGATACACGCCTTTTTCCAGGCCGGTTGCCCTTTCCTGACCCTGCTGCCGACACCACCACCATGCCACCATGCATGTATAATTACGCCACCTCTTCCCTCTTAACGCCACCGCTGCCATCACCCCCGCTATCACACAGTACAACGTGCTTCAACTGGAATCTTACCCTCCCCCGACCCCCGTTCCATTATCCGCCCCGTTCGCCCGCAGGTCCTCACGTCCGCGTTTTTCGACCTGGATTTCCCGGACATTGTGGGGGGACCGAGAAGTAGGTCCAGACGAGTCTGTTGGGTGTTGGGTGTTGCCGCATTGTGCATGGAGCCCGCTTCTGGTGGCCAGTGAAGCGGGGGGCTCAGGAGGAACGCCGAGCTTCCGTCCCGACCCCTCTAAAAGAAAGGAGTCCGCCCTAGTGTCTTAGGGGTTCGCCCTATAACCCCTTTTTCGGCTGCCGCTAGCCGGGAAGCATGACGGCCTAGCCGTATGTAGGGGGCTTACTGACCTGGGGGGATGGGTTTTCTATTTTGGCCGGGGGGGTCTAACAATCACGTGCCTTCATATACCGCGCGCGTGTGTGTGTATGTGTGTATGTATGTGTATGTATGTGTATGTATGTGTATGTATTTCCTGGTGGTCCCGTGGACAGCCGGAGTCTGGTCTTAGGCCTAGGGATGACCTCCCCTAGTGTGTGCCAGGTAGTCTTACCTGCCTGCCCTTCGTCCGTGTGGTTGGAGCTCTGGGGGGGTTGGTCGGCGGGTTTCCCAGGAGCATGGGGGCAGGATAGAACCGTCACGACAATTTACTAACCACAATAACAACCTCCATGAACCGTCCATCTAGCAACCAGCGCTGCTGCCGACTTAACCGTCTACTAACCGTATTCATCACGGCTTGTTTCTCGTTGCTGCTGCTGCTGCTGCTGCCTCTGTCGCCTTCGCAGGTCGCCTCACGCAGCAGAAGAAGGGCGGCTTCCTGGGTCTGTTCGGGAAGAAGTCCGCACCTGCGACCACTGCGGCGGTGGGGGCGCCTCCCCCCCTGGCGGCGCCTCAGCGGCCGGGGTCCGCGCCCAGCGGCTCAGGTCCCTCGGGCACTGCCCCTAGGTGAGATGATACGATAACACATACAGACATGTACACCACATGTACTTTAACCTGTATGTACGTCTGTATGTACTTCGTGCGGCTCAGTTCATTTAGAGAGACACACACACAGGTCTCCCCTTCCTCCCCACCCACACACACCGTCACGCGCTCCCCGTGCTTTGGATTTCGGCAGCCGTTGTCTCCACAACTTTTGCGTCATGTGATCCATCATCCCACCTATCCGACATAAACCTCTTTTGACATCGCTGCACCCAAAGGAGGAATGTGTGCGCGGGGTGGGGCTGCACCACCTCATATCCCCAATAGGGTTTCTGATCCCCCTTTGCTTCGGTTCGGTTTGGTTTCGGGGCCTGATTGCGCTTTGGCAAGCGAGCGCTGCCTTGCCTTGCCTGTATGGTGGCCTCTGGGTGCGTGCTCCTCTGGTGGTGTGCCTGTGGGTGTGCTCACCGCACGACTCCCTCTCGCCTCTGTGTCCGACAGGTACAAGTCCAGCACGGCGGCGGCGGCGGCAGCTCGCTGGCTGGGTCGCGGCGCAGGGCTGCCTGATGACAGCGGGGTTATGCCGTCGGCGGGGTCGACGTCTGCCGTATTGGACACTACGTCGGCTAAGGCGTCTTTGTTGGCATCCAGGGTGCGTGCGTGTGTGTATGTGTGTGTATGTGTGTACATCGCCCCACGGCGTGAGAGGCGTGGTGATCCGACCCGACCCGGCTTGGCCTGGTCTGGTCTGGTCTGTGGTCTGGGTGTCTCTTGGTTATAACGGTCCTGGCCGTTGATGTTTAAGGCCGAGGGGTAATGGGTCCCGCGGGGGGGGGCGCTGTGGCCTTGGGGGGACCCTAAGTACTGGTACTGCTCTATGGTGATGCTTGTGGTGGTGATGCGCCTTCCAGCCTGCCTTTCCGCCTGCGTACTCCCTCATCCCCGCCCTCGTCCCCGCCCTCTGCATGTACATGTCACGTCGCCTACACAATTTCAGCAGTACGACAAGAGCCCGGGGGGCGAGTATGACGCCCCGGGGCAAAAGTCTGGCTTGGACGGCATCTTCGCGACCCTGTCTGGCGTCGGGGGGGCCGACACCGGCGGCGGCGGCGTTTCCGCCGGCAGCATGACCGCCGCCGCCGCCGCAGGCGGAGTCGTCGCAGGTGCGGGGAATCGTCTGGGAGGCGGTGTTCAGCCGGACACTCCCGGGGCTCAGCGGCACTCGGAGAAAGACTCCTTGTTGGCTGGCTTCTGGCGCAGTTGAATGATTAAATGAGAGGAACTCGTTGCGGTGGGAGCCGAGCGGACCAGCCGTGCATGCCGCCTTAGCCAAAAGGGGGGGGCCTAGAAGAGTTGAGCAGGATCTGGTTTCGGGATATGTGCCCTTGCCCCAGATGAGCATCAATAGTTGTCTCTCCGGGGGTCGGGGACTCGGGTTCTGCGTTGGGGTTGATGGGGCGGCCTTGGACGTTTGGCCGGCTTTTGCTTTTTCCTGGAGGGGAGAGGGGGTTAAGATGAACCACTGGCGACGAACCACAGGGGAGTGGGGGAAAGGAAGCTGGCCGGTGGAGTGAATGATGATCTGCACACGCACACACACACATACATACAGACGCACACATATGTACGCGTGCTGTTGGGCGGGACACCGACAGTCGGCGTTGATGCTGGTGCTGGTGCTGGTGTGCGTGACAAGCTGGGGCGGACGGGGTGGTTAGCTGCGAGTGAGTGGCGTGGAAATTCGACAGAAGTTTGCTGCCTTTTGACTACCTCTTTGCGTTTCGGTAATTATGATTAAGCGCCTGTGAGGAGTGGGCTTTGTGGCGGCGGCCCGGTGGGGTACCCCACCGTGTATGGGGCGGGGGGCGCGTCCTTGGCGCGACTTGCGCACTCGGTGCTGGGATGTCCTGGCCAGCGGCCGTGTGGGATCTTAGGTATGGGTTCTTGCATTTTGCTGGGGAGTTGTTTGCATTGCTGCATTGCTATCGGAGATGTGTCGCGTCTTAAGGGTGGGTGGTGCATCTTGCAATGAGTGAAGTGCAAGTTTAGAACATGTTTGACTTACACGCTTTGCACGAGAAGAAGGATTTAGGATTTATTTAAATGAGTTGTTTGTATGTAACCCACTATAACTGATGGAGGGACGGACAGGCTGACGGACGGACGGATCTTGGGACCAGTCTGTTGTCGCACGGGGTCTTTCCTGGCAGATCGGAACTCTGCGACCCCACCCCTGAAAGCCGAATCCTTTTCCTCGTTGGCACCTAAGCACGGCAAGAAGCCCCCCGGCATTCAGTTAATCCTTGGAGAGTTCCCGTCCCTTTAGTATTTCGCCACTTCCCTTCCAGGAGGATCCTTCTCGTCTGGGTAATAACCTTTTTCTTGAAGCCAACAAAGACTATTCAAAGCTGATTTGACACTGAGTTTACCGCTATGTGCGCAGGCTCCGACAAAAAGAGGTTTTGTTGGAGCCTCAGTGCACGAGTGGTCAAAATTTATATGTCGGTTGAAGAGGTTCTCGACGCACGGGTGCGCTTCTGTGCGCGCTAGTCGCTGCGCTGCAGGCACAACCGGCTCTCCGGGTACCTCCGTTTTGTGTATCTGGGGCTGTGTCCGGTGCGGTGCAATCGCAAATATGTATACGCCTTATTGATATGTGATATATAGCTGATTACGGATGCGTGGCTACCAATACATTTTTGTATGTGTGCACGGGACGAGGAAGAGGAGGATGAGGGCTGGGATTAACTTGCTGTTGTTGCGAGAGAAATCGCCTGCGGGGCCGCAGCAGGGCGCAAGAAGAAGGGATTTCTGGGACCCGTGGGTCTTCACGTGAGGTCTCTCAAGCGCCAACCTGACAACCACAAAACACACGAGCGGCAGCGCTGCTTGTTGTTCTTGTATATCGCGCAACCGGGGATCTGTGACGTACAGCTTTTAGACTTACGGCTGTTATATTGGAGGTTGGCATCCGATGCACCGCGGATTGCCAGGCCTGGCGGGGCGGAGGTTAGCCAGCCTGCCCCGCATAACCGCACCCCTCCCTGTAGCCGTTGGCAATCCACGTCTGTCTTTTCTGCAGCATCAAAGTGCCAGGGCGATTGACCGGGGACCTTTACCTCCAAGGTCAAGGTCATTACTACAGCCATTGGACTGCCAGACTGACAAACAGCGCTGGCAGCCACAGCAGCTACCTTTCCCATTAGCTAGTCCGCCTACCACCAACAAACAGCACCCAACCCCCGCGCCACCACCTCATCACCACAGACCTGCACCGCGCACACCGCCGCCATCGCCAGCTGCACTTTCCACAGCGCTGCAGACCCGGAGCGTCGTCGTAATTCTAATATTTCTACTTCCCCCACACCCCATGGGTGGCCACCCCATCCACGTCGAAACAATCGCAGTAAGCGCTACCCCACCCGCACATACACACTCTCTCGCTTCAATCCACAGCAATTCCTGTCTCTCCTTCTCCTCCTGTCTCCCGTTCTCTCTGCAAGAAACTATGCGTACCGGGAACGTGTGCCCGCGTGCGCATGCATGTGGATAAAGTGTGGGTGGGTGCTTTCGTGCCGTTGCAAGGGTGGCGGCCCCCCCGCCAGTCGCCGTCTTTTGCCAGTCTGGCGGGCTGTTCCGTTCTGTGCTCCCCACCCTGGCCCCCTCTCCTGGCTGCCACCGCCATCGCACATCCCAGTAATACGCCAGGTGCCATCCGTCTGTAACACACACACACACACACACACACACGCACACAGACACGCACACAGAAAGACATACGCACAATTAATCGTGTGCAGATCCTCGTCAGTCCTTGCCTGAGGCTCAGACCATGGACACACACACACACACAACCTCACATCAGCTGCCAGAATGCGAGGGTGCCGTCTACGGCCACCGACACAATGGTTCGGTCGTCCGGGCTGAAAGCCAACTTGGCCACCGGAGCTGAGTGGACGGTCGCTGCCGCCACCTCATTGCCGTTGTGCCAGTCAAATACCTGCGACCGAGCAACCGCGACGGGAGTGCCGCACGGTAAGACGAGAACGTAGAGGGGCGGGGCAGGGCAGGGCAGGGCAGGGCAGGGCAGGGCAGGGCAGGGCAGGGCAGGGCAGGGCAGGGCAGGGCAGGGCAGGGCAGGGCAGGGCAGGGCAGGGCAGGGCAGGGCAGGGCAGGGCAGGGCAGGGCAGGGCAGGGCAGGGCAGGGCAGGGCAGGGCAGGGCAGGGCAGGGCAGGGCAGGGCAGGGCAGGGCAGGGCAGGGCAGGGCAGGGCAGGGCAGGGCAGGGCAGGGCAGGGCAGGGCAGGGCAGGGCAGGGCAGGGCAGGGCAGGGCAGGGCAGGGCAGGGCAGGGCAGGGCAGGGCAGGGCAGGGCAGGGCAGGGCAGGGCAGGGCAGGGCAGGGCAGGGCAGGGCAGACGATAAAAGGTCCGTCCCTGAAGCCGTTTGAAACGAGCCCCTTATCCGCAGCATAAGATGGCTGCTGCCGTGCGCTTGGAAAGCGCAGACACACACAGCCGCGAATGTACGCATGATCGCTTCACCTTGACAGCGTTGTCCGCGCCGCCAGTGGCGAACACGACACCCCGGTTGTCACTGGCCACACATCCGCCCTCCACGCCGTGAGCCTCCACCTGGAGGGTGCCGTACGTGTGTGTGTGTGTGTGTGTGCGTGTGCGTGTGGAGGGTGTAGGGGGCGGGGGGAGGGGGAGGATTGGACAGACGATTGAATGTGGGAAAGGAGGCTTCCCTTCCGAACGACCCCCATCAACCCTCAACCTGCCTCTCCCCGCTCCTCCCTTTTATCCCTCACCATCTATCCCACCCCCTAAAACCCGCCACCGCTATCCCGCAGTGGGCCCCCACCCGGCCCCCCAACCACCACCCTTGCAATCACCTTGGTCCAGCGGGGCTCGGGTCCTCGCACGTCCCACATTTGCACCTTGCGGTCCAGGGTGATGGTCACAACCGATACCTGCTCAGCGTGGGAATTGAACCCTGTTTTGTAAGCTTGGTAGTATGATAATTCTGGGGTCATATACTGTTCCTAAATCGCGCGCCTACCCGCCTACGTCGCCACACCCCGCCCCCCTCCCTAACCCCCCACCCAATCCCATCTCTTGCCTTATCAGGCGACACCGCCAGCCCGCGTATCATGGAGTTGCTCCGCCAGGTGACTCGGGCTTTCTCGCAGCCCAGCTCCCACAGGCTCCAGGAGCGGTCCTCGGAGGCTGCAACCTGGGCGGGAAGACCGCGGGGTGGACCGGGGGGGGGGGAAGACGTGACTTTCCCACCCACCGGCGGGCGGTACGGGACTCTCGGGTGCGCACGAAGCGAGGAGCCGGGAGCTACGGTGAGCACAGTAGTAGTGGCATAGGGGCACAGAAAGGCTACGTAGAAGGACGTAGAATGGAGCTTCAAACACGCCTTGAGCCCGATCCGTACACCGCCGTACACCGCCGTACACGCTTACCACATGTTTGTCGTCCGCCATCACCGCCACGTCCACCAGCTTCTCCATGTGCAGCTTCATGTGTGCGGCCATCTCTCTGCTCCGGAGGTCCCAGCACCTCAGCTCTCCACCCGCTCCCCCCGTCAGCAGGAAGCCCCCGCTAGAGGGAAGATCCAGGGGGGGAAGGGGGAGGGGGCGTACGGGAGGCGGGGGGTCAGGTACGTCTTGATAGCAGCTGGGGGCCCTCCCGATTGACGCATCCGGAGGTTCTTCACCGTCAGGGGGGTTGAAATGAACTTCTCATACGTTTCAAACTGAACTGTGCATATAGTCCTGATACATGTATATTGTGTGTGTGGACGTGTATGCATGTGCATGTGCATGTGCATGTGCATGTGCATGTGCATGTGCGTAGGAACTGCAAAAGTCTGGGCATTACCATTATCTACCTGATCTTAGATAAAGAAACCGTTAATTTTATACATATTATACTTGCTATGTAGTATGTATGTACGTGTGTCTGTCTGTGTGTGTTTTTCCTGGTCTGTGTGTGCGAAGGACCAACTAAATAGCGAAAATGGCGGAGGCGGGGGCGGCCACATTGTACGACGGCGCAACAGCATCACAAGCGGCATACGTTAATGCGACCGATACTGCGATGAATACACAGCGTTAACTGGTGGACGGACAGACGGACAGACAGACAGACGGACGGATGGATAGACGGACCGAGTGGCCCGTGGGTCATGCCGTACCCACCCGTGTGCCAATTTCATCGCGGTGACCCCCACTGAGTGCGCCAGGGAGTGGGCTCCAGGGATGACCCACAGCGGGGCGCACAGGGCACCACCGCCCGTGCGGGCATGACAGCGGATGTGGCCGTCAGCCCAACCTGTGTATGTGTGTACGCATGTGTGTACGTACGTATGTATGTGTATGCCCCAGGGGACCAAGAGGGGGGGGAAGGGGGGAAAAGGGAAAGAGCAAGAACGCGTTACATTGAACCGAATCGAGTCGTCGGTTCAAATCGATTCACAATTGGGGCAGGTTCGACATCTTCGACATCGGAGACGGGTTGAAAGCAGTTATGCATAATGATGATGATGATGATGATGATGATGATGATGATGATGACGCTGCTGCTGCTGCTGCTGCTGCTGCTGATGATGATGATGACGATGTGCATCATCACGAAGCAAAGGCGGCCCGACTGCCGACACGTCCAAGGCACTAGGAGCTGCTGCTGCTGCTGCTGCTGCTGGTGCTGCTGCTGCTGCTGCGGCGGCTGCTGCTGAGCACCTCCCGCTTCCGTAGGGGTTGGGGGGAGGGCAGTGCTGCACTACTGCAATACACGCACATGCGTTGCGCACGCAGCAAACAAAAGGCTCGTGCGCTTCATTGCAAAAGCCACCTCGACCCGAACCCCTCCCCCCCTTCCCCCCCCTAGCAATTTCCAGGCAAAATCTAAATCAGTTCTGCTTCTTGTACACTCTTTCCTTGGCAGCAGCTTCACTCGTTCGTGGTTCGTCTTCCCCTTCCTCCCCGCCGCCGCCGGTGTCTATTATTAGCGGTTCACTCCCCTTCACTCCCCTTCACTTCCCCCCCGCCCGTGCCGCCCCAACTACTCACCCGAGACAATTGCATCACGTGTCATCGCGCAGCATAAGGCCCCTCCCGCCTGGGATGGCTCCTGGGCCTTACATTGCATCGTGAAGTCCTAGGAAGTGAGGGGGGGGGCAGCGGGGCAGTGGGTTCTAGACGCAACATGCTGAGGGCTGGGGGCCAGATGATGACGTCCACCACCGCGGCTGTGTTTCCCCTCTCCCCCTCTCTCCACCCCCCCTTTCCACTACTGCTACCTGCACACTCCACACCGCTACGGAGCCGTCCGACGAGCTGACCGCCACCGCGTCGCTCTGCCCCGGGGCGAAGGCCACCCCGGTGGTGCAGCCCCCCTGGGCCTGACTGAGGGTGTGCAGCTGCAGGGTGGTTCGGTCCAGTCTGGAGACGGGGGGGGATTGGGGGAGGAGGGGGAGGTAGCTCAGGGAGGGGGAGGAGGAGGGGGAGGAGGAGGGGGAGGAGGAGGGGAGGAGGAACTGAGCGGGGTGTTAATAAAGGGTATGGAACGGGTGTTTGAGGGGGGCCAGTGGACCCGAACACGGTGGCGGGGGTGGGGGGTATTGGGGGGTAGCGGTCAAAGAGGCCGAGGTTTAAGTTGTGGAGTGGTTTGGTGTGGTACGACACATACACACACACGCATACGCACCTGAGCACGGCCCCCTGGGTGGTTCCCAGCAGGAATGCGGATCTATCCGCGCTCAGACAGAAGCTGGTGATGTGGCTTCCCGGGGCGGCGGCGAAGGGCCTCAGCTCCCTCCAGGCACCCCCTGCGGGGTTGAAGGCGGACAGACTGCCATCCCGACCCGCGGCGATGACAGCGCCGCCGCCCTCCGGGGACAGCAGCAGCCCACCGACACCGCCACCGCTACAGACTGGGTGAGCCAGCTGGTGGGACATGTACAGTGAGTGCCGGGAAAGGGGGGAAAGGTGTAGAGAGGACAGGGGGGATAGGAGACCATCGGAACACTGACTGGGGACGGATAGTCTGAAACGTGGGTCTCAACGAGAGGATATGGGGGGGGCTGAAGGGGGAAAGAGAGGGAAAGGGAAGACAAGGAGAGAGGGGAAGGGAGTTCTAAAAACCCCCCGGTGCGAGTTGGGGCCAGCCGTGTTCGGGGGGTGGTATGGCGGAGCCGTACCAACGGGATTTTATTCCCTCACCAGCTCCTGAGGATCCAAAAAAAGGAGAGGGTGTGGGTGATAGAGCCCTAGACGGCGGGGGGAGGAGGGGGGGAAACCAAAGCCCTAGGGGTTTCCCCTCATGCCACGCACCTACCTGCACACTCATGCGCTGCACGTTAATGGTGACCACGTCACCGCTTGCCGTACCGCAGTACAGCCAGTTGCCGTCCGGGGAGAACAACAGACTCGTGTACTCGCGCCGTATGGAGCCGAGCACCACCTGGACCAGGACAGCACGGGTAACACCGAGGTGGCGCGGACAGGCGCGGGTAGGAGCTGGAGGAGGAGCTGGAGGAGGAGCTGTGAGAAGTAAGTTGTCCGTGCCAAGTAGCAAACCCAGTACCGCGTCATCTTCCTATTTCCCCCTCCTCCTCTCGCCCCCTCCTCTCCCCCTCCTCCTACTACGCCTACTGGTCAGTTCTGCTGCTTGTACACTCTTTCCTTGCAGCAGCTTCACTCGTTCGTGGTTCGTCTTTCCCCCTCCTCCTCCGCCCCTCCTCCTCTCCCCCCTTCCCTCCTCTCCCCCTCCTCCTCTCCCTTCCTCCTCTCGCCCTCCTCCTCTCCCCCTCCTCCTCTCCCCCTCCTCCTCTCCCCCTCCTCCTCTCCCCCTCCTCCTCTCCCCCCTTCCCTCCTCCGCCCCTCCTCCTCTCCCCCCTTCCCTCCTCTCCCCCTCCTCCTCTCCCCCTCCTCCTCTCCCCCTCCTCCTCTCCCCCTCCTCCTCTCGCCCTCCTCCTCTCCCCCTCCCCCCTCTCTCCTCATCCTCATCTCCGCACTACTAGCTGCACTACCAGCCGCATTACTGGCCGCACCCAACCACACAGCTTGCCGTACCTGTTTCCCGGAGATCTGTCCCGAGTAAGGGTCCAGTGTCCAGATCGTAACATCCGCCGCCGCCGCTGTCGCGAACGTGTATGTACGGCCGCCGGCAGCCGTCCCGTGAGCCCAGGCGGCGGCGGTTATCAGCTGCAAGCCGGAAATTCAGTTGAGGGTCGGCAGTCGATGATAGGTGGTGGTGGTGGTGGTTAGCGCTAGCAGGGGACTGGAGACGGCATGGGCCCCAGGCTGCCGGCACCAATAGCAGTGGCAGTACCAGGATTATCCACATCAGGTCAGTCGGGTGGATGAAAATGAGAATGAAAAGTGTCGTACGATTCAACCTAGGATGGAGGACCTGGTTAGGAAGGTTAAAAAGATCACCACTGGCTGTTTTGTTGAGGTTTGAAGTTTGGGCCCAGCCCAGGTACGCCGTACAGGTGCGCCTTACGGCCGTCGTACTAATACGTGTTTTGTGGCCACCAACCTTGAGCGGCTCCAGGGGGGCCCGCGTGACGACCTTCATGGTGGCCGTATCCAGTACGACCAGCTTAGCGCCCCTTCAAGAAACAGGTACGGCGGGAAAATACGGCGGTGGAGAAACAGTTGCAGATTCTTGGCCGATATTACAGGATCAGTTTTGTCAACGACAAGAGCGCGTCGGGGCTGCGTCAAGCCTTATATGGGTACTACACCTTACCCTCCATCCGTACATGCCGTACAACCATTGCCCTGGATACTATGCAACATCATCACCACCACCAGCAGCAGCACCTCACACAATTCAGCGCCGGCATATTTTGGTGAGCAACGCAAGTAAAAGTGAGGGTGGATACATCACACACAACACACCTGCTTTGAGAACTTGCAACCCAAGGCAAAGGGGGGGGTGCAGCTCTAGCAAAATCTTCCGCAGATGTACAAGTACAGCGTCGGAAGGCATCGTACACCGTTGTACACAACTCACTTGCGGCAGCACGCTGACATGAGCAACCGGTCGTCATGCGAAAAGGCCAATGACGACACCTCCAAATTGTGCTCCGAGAACCTTTCAATTAACCAACCGGGTCGGTTGGAGGTTGGGGTTCGGCGGTTGGAGGTTGGGGTTTAGGTTAACGTCAACCGATATGGGGACGTTGTTGGTGCGGTGGGGGACGTGTGCATGTACGTGTCACAGAAGCAAACATCCGCTGGGTGGTTGCAACACAAGGGAAGCAATAACCACCACTAACCGCCAACGACCACGAACCGCCTCAGGTAGGGCTCCAGGCGAGGGGGGGAAGTGGGCGGCGGCAAAAGGGCTATTCGGTTCAGAGGTGGAGATGAAGAGATGGGGACTTTAGGGAGGGTGTTGCAGCCATAAGAAACCAAACAAAGCACTACTGCAGCGCCTCTGCACTAATGCCGGTCACAGACAGACAACCTTATGGGTTACAACATGTACCGGGTTTCAATACCAATTGGAGCAGCTGGCCACTGAAAAGGTGTCTTTCGATGATGACTACAGCAGAGCGTTTTAACAGTATTTATAGACATTGTGTATGCCGTAATGTGCCATAGCTACTACAATCTGTCGATCCTCGGTCTTTTGCTGCAGGAATACCATCACATAAAGTGGACGGGTGCTCTCTGATCTCAGAGCAATCATCAGCATCATCACGGGGCTGCGACCGTTCCAGGGTAACATGCTATGGGGTTGTTCTGATTTGGTTAATGCAGCTAGGATGGATATATGTTCGGATAGGATGGAGATAGGTTCCGATTCGTTTAACGGAGCTAAATATGCGTGGCACTTTTTTGTTTGATTGTGCATTATCCTGACGCGTATATATACGTTTTAGATGTGAACTAATCATCTCCCACCCCAGCAGCAAGCTGGAGCTTGCAGACTGTGTGCACCTGTGGCCGAGTGGTTAAGGCGCCGCCCTGCTAAGGCGGTGGGGTCTCCCCGCGTGCGTTCGAATCGCATCGGGTGCGATTTTTGAATTTCGGCATTGTCGGTATATTAACAATTATCTCCGGTCATATTGATGATGATTCCATGCCTTTCAAAACTTTGACTTTTTTGGATGCTGGTTTATAGCATCATCGACACCAGCTGCAGCACTGCTAGGGTTTTCCGAAGCGAGAGCGGAAGCTAAGGACCCACGCTCTTGTTCTTCCTTCCCATCATCCGCCATCACACCTGGTTTTGGAGCTCAGGCTCCCCAGGTCCCAGATCATCACATCGGCCTGGGGGCCCCCCTGACCCGTGGCAAGCAGCCCGCCGCCGTTCTGTTAACAGCGGTTCAAAGGGTTGGGTGTTGAGAACAATTTTGTACCGTTTACCGTTGGTTATATCGTTAATCGCGTAATGGTGTCGGTGTCGTGTGCCAACCTTGGCACGTATGTGCAAAGCACTTAGTATGTGTGCACATCTGTGCACGTGTGTAATATCTTCCCTCCGGTGACCCGGAGAGTGCCCAAAGGGAACATCGCAAATCGCGATACATATATAATCTCTTGTATGTATGGATGTACGAATGTACGGACATGGGTGAGGTCATCAAGCTGCCACAGCATACGCGGCCTGGGTGGGTGAAGGCTCTGGGGAGGGCGCCAAAATGTCGAGTATGATGTACGACTGCCATCATGTAACGCCCAATGTCTACGTGGCCCAGCGACTCGGCGACCCACCGACATGGCGAATGCGGTGATGGAGCTGTCGTGGCCTCGGAGGATATGCTGGGGGGCCAGGTTGTCCTGCAAGGCGGGAGGTAGCAGAAGCGAGGTGGGGCCGGCCGCAGGGATAACTTAGATTCCGTGTGTATGTATGTGTGTATGTATGTGTGTATGTATGCGTGTATGTATGCGTGTATGTATGTGTGTATGTATGTGTGTATGACTTAGATTACACTGTGGGCCGCGAGAGCCGTACATACATGTGTGTATGTATGTATGTGTGTATGCATGTCTAGGCAAAGGGCCCTAGATCACCCCGGGATCGAACCTGGGGAGGTGTTCCCCAACACCTGTGAGGTCCTGCGAGGAGAGGGGAGGCGCTGGAGCCCGTGGGGCCGACACTGACTTGGGTCGGACTTTCGCGAGCTGGGTCACAGCAGCAGAGCACTTTCTGATTCCCTTACGCTGCTGCTTTTTACCCCATTCCATTGTTCCCTCCCTGGACCAGGGCCGGACTAGAGCCCTGGCGCAGGGAAGTCTGCTTAAGGCGCACACCGGATATGCCCCTGGGGTTATGCAATATGCGGGGCAAGCGTATGTGGTCGTCTGCTACTAGGGGAAGACGGGGTGGAAGCTAGGACCGCAGGGCCCGACGTGACGAGGAGGCCATGGGCACGAGGTGAACACCACAGCCCGCAGGCCCAAATGTGGGCGTCCTTTTGGAAGGGAGGTGCTTGAACTGGTGCGACTGCATGGGTGCGGAAATGCGGTTATGAACGCGCGAACTTTTCGGTCGGAGACGGGGAACAAATCTAGTTCGCTCCGACATTACTAACAGCTAGGGCCAGGCTGGCCATGCAGCTGGTTTTCTCAGGTCATGTTGGGTACGTTTTCAGGAAAACATGCTTATCCGAGACGCGAGAGAAAACGACCTTTGTGGCGCACATGCGTCCGAGACACGTTGCCATGTGGCTTGCCGCACCTCGCTGCCTAGGATGATGGCTGCACCGCAGACCTGAGCAATTGTAAAAGGTCCTCTGGAATTCGGAATGGCTTGCATTGAGCCAGGCAAAAGGCCACTGCGGACAAATGGACAGTTCAATTACAGGTAACTTAGAGCACTCGTTCATAAGCGATCACAGACTCAATATAATATAATCATACTTTAGGCCCTTCATGTGCCGGAGTACAAGTGGCATTTTGTCGACTTGAGATGATGCAAGTTGACAAGACAAGGTTCGACACTAATCTAAGCGACAGCAACAAATGGAGCCGTTAGAAGTGAGGACCTGTAGATGTTCAAGCAGTAATGGTCATGAAGCACATGCATGCGACCCGTACACACGCACGGCAGCATTTGGAACCCTTTCCCAGGGGTCCGTTTATATAACGCGCATAACAGCGCGGACGAATATTCCTACGTGGAGTGCCTTAATCATAAGCACCTCCGAGGGGAGAAACCACTACGGTTACGGTGTGTTCTCCCTCTACGACACGAGACCCGCAGGACTCACTAGCATCGACCCGTGCAAGATCCTCGTGCATGTTCATAGATGCTTCTGAGCCCAAGAGGCCATGCTGTACCACGTATATAAGGATCTGTCTCCAACCGTCTTCACAGCTCCAGCTGCGGCTGGGGGGTAGCTTTGTAGGAACAGGTTCATGACAGCTGAGTTAAGTTCAGGAGAAACAGTAATGGCCTCACTTTGTTAAATGCTTTTGAGTAGGTTGCTATCCAAACCTGTGCTATCCAAATGGGAGTGTTTCTGTGCTTTGCCAGGTAAGCGCCTAGCAGGGCCCGGGGTAGAAGGGCCCGTTGACAACGGATAAACCTCTGGCACCTGCGTCCTCGGACTTGCCGTGTTCAGGTCCTCTGTGCGGCACAGGGCTTCAGGCCGATCGGCATTTCCTTGCTAAGCACAATTCCAGCAGCGGGGTCTTGGCTTGCTTTTGGACGCATTCTTCTTGGTCCAAGAAGCGCACTCCAGGAGTGCGCTGAATTGTGCCTCATGCGCCGCGGCCGGAACAGCACCGCGGTTTGTAATAAAGGGGCTATCTATGTCAAAGATGTGGGCAGCTCCAGTAACCCTTGTGCACCTCTTAGCCTCAAGACAACCATGAACGTCTTGCCGAATGCTCCACGGACAGCGCGGTTACCTCAATTTACATAAACCAAGGTGAATGAATCTTAATCATAATACCAGGTAGTAAATAGTGATGCAGTTAGCTGGTCGATACCGGCAGTTTGACCGGGTGGCCGCTAAATGCTGTCACATAAGCAAAACGGAACATTTGGGGTGAGGGATCATTTACAATACGCCACAGAAGCATGTCATTCCCTCGTAGGGACTAAGGGAATTGACCCAACACAACGCACTCATAAGCTTTAACCACTCAGTAATAGTATGTCCTGTGATCTAGCTGCGTGGAAATGCATATCGGCAATTCCGTTGGAGCCACAGCGGCCATACCTTCTGTTGCACTGTTGCAAAGCACACGGACATATGGACGTTACGACTGCCGTACTGCAGCTTAAAACTTCTCAACTGGAGCTTGCACAGCATATACAATCAATGCGTAGCTACCACTGTTTCGCATTCATGTATCAAAACGCTGGTCCTAAGACGAATATAAAAACTCTGAAGTAACTGCCTTTCGTGTATTATCCTTGTTAAAGAGGGACTTCGTTATTTCCACCCTAATACAACATTCTTTGTAATACCTTTGAGTTGACCCATATGTTGAACTAGTTTTTTTGGCTCTATTCCGCCCACCGACCTAATGGCGTAAGCTTGCACAGGGATAGCGAACGCCGCCATGAGCCTCCGCCATGAGCGCGGCAAAGCCGCATTCCCGCCTAACTCGGAAAACCTGGGTGGGGTACAACTTATCTTGGACGAGTACCGCCACATGCAAGAGCGCATCAATGATATTCGGCCATCCACAGTGGAGCTGGCAGCTGCCAAGCGCTATAAAGAGGACATGTCCTTGGCAGAGCGTCTCAGCCGAAATCGGGCGGCACGCCGTGCAGCCCACAATCCAGTTTCTGCCGAACACGTCAACAATCTGTACCACATGTACAGGTCAGCCGACGCCTCCGACGACCCGTCCATAACTCATTAGGCGGAAAAAACAAACCACCGCCAATCTCCTGATATGCGCGCAGTCATATCTTAAAAAGCACGTCTTACAGTTCGGCACTTTCATGAGCCTAAGGGAGGAGGCAGAGTCCCTGTTTGACATGCAGGGCGAAACCCCCTCCAAACGTCTCATCACCCCGCGACTCCGACCGACATCTCCCCCCTCACCCTTGCTACATCCGACCCCTTGTACCACAATAAACATCTCCCCCCTCCAGACGACCATCCCCCTCTCCTTCTCCTCGTATCCTTGGTTGCCGCCCTCTCTCCCACGCCCTCCCCGGTCCTTCTCCCCCACCAGCTCGTTGCTAAGAATTTCCCAACCCCTCCCCGCCCTTCTGCAACCCGTCCCCGCTCTTTCCCCCCCGTCAGGCGCATAGAGGAGTCGTACACCCGTACCTCCCGGCTCAAGAACCCCTGGGACACTACCGTGTACCCCGTCTACCTGCGGAGGGACTCCAACCCCTACCAGGACATGCTCAAGGTGGGCCGCTAGGGGCCGAGAGGGCCGAGGGGCAGCGCGAAGTGGGGTGTTGGGAAGGGCACTGTTCGGAGGGGCCACCCCCTCCCGTGGAGGAATCCTTCAGAGATCCAGTGGAAGAAACTAGAGCGCCGAGTACCGCTGCTGTCGCTGCAGTAGCAGCAGCACTGCAGCAGTAGCAGTGCAGCAGTAGCAGCCGTCGTGGGCGCCTACATCACCAGCAACCTAGCGACTAAACCAATGCCAATCAACACGCTGGACGCATTTCGTAATTTCACGCAGTAAATTTAGTTTTTCGTCGTCTATGCCCCGTCTGTCCCCTTCAACACCCTTTGTCTCTCACCCCCTCACCCACACCATGCACCTCACTGTGTACTTAGGCGGAGATGGAGGCCATGCGACCCGCCTCGGCCCCCGCCTGGGCACGCGACCGCAGCCGCCGTCACGTGCCCCCCGGCGACCAGTACGCCGGTTGGAGTGTACGTGAATCCCTGGGTGCCGCATTTCCCAAGTCCAGGTGTGTGTGAGAGAGAGTGTGTGTGAGTGTGTGCGTGTGTGTATGGTGTCGGGGGGTGATGTCCGGGTCGGGGACTCATGGGTTGGGGGGAGCGACTAATGGAGGTGATGGGTCGTATATCCGTAAAGTGCAGAAAGCTGTGCATGATGGGGGTTTGGTGAGGTGAGCTGGAGATCCATTGGGGACTGGTAGGGAAGCCAATCGCCGCGGGAGGCCGTGGCCAGGAGGGGGTCCACACTGCTGCGAGGAGGAGGTGGAAAGTGGAAGAGGGGTGAGAGAGGAAAAGACACTTTGCGTGTTTGCATGGTCGTACGGGGCAACCGGCCGCTCGCCAAACCCGGGTTTCCCTGTCCGTCGCCCCACCCGCCCCTCCAATACACACACGCGGGGGTCGCAGGTACGAGGAGGCTCTGCGGATGGCTGACCGCGCTACCTACAAGAAGGCCATGATGGCTGAGATACTCGACAAGCGGATTTACAAGGAGGCCGAACTAAAGGCGCTCTTCCGCGCATATGCCCGCCTGGCTCCGCTGGGGGATAAAGAGACGGTGGCGGCCGTGGTTCGGGAGCTCAAAAAGGAGCTGTTTGTCAAATGATGGGGCGGGGGATGGGAGGCGACAGGAAAGGATGCGGTCTGGCTGTCCGTCGGGGGCTTCTGGCTTGGGGAGATTTTACGATTGTTGTGACGTACATACATACATACATACGGTAGGGTTTGGCACTACTGGTAAGGCGCGACCATTGCCCCCGGGAGATCCCGGGATCGATACCGTTAGGGTCAAAAGTCCTTCCGATGGTGGAAGGCATTGCGCCCCTAGTTGATGGACGGTGGTGACCTGGGATAAAGTTAACCTGCGAGCCGACCAGGAATGGAGTTGGGCCGCTGTCGACCCGGCAGATTCCGTTGGATGCTGGTGGTGGGTGCGGAACCTTAGCGATCCACTGAGAAGTTGACTAGGGTGACTGGATGAGGGTGCCCCGAAATACCGGGGAAGGCAGGGTTTCGCAGGGTAGCTGCCACGGGCGAAGATACACCCCCCTGTTTCACACATCATACATACATGTCTACATACATATAAACTGTGATACTTTAGATATACTGTAACAGCATTCGTTCACACGGACAGTTATATGAGGTGTTGCAGGGTGAGGCCTTGTCGTACGGAGCTTAGGCGTAGGAGTGTATACATAAGGCCCCTTTACGTATGACAGGGAAACTCTGTGTCGGAAAGCGCTGTGTGGGCGCGTGGACGAGTATGGCTCTGACCCCTGGTGCTCGAGTGACGGTGATGTCAATGGTAGCGGCACTGGCGGCAGCCGGGTTACAACCCCGTGTGCCCCCGTGTCTAAATGGGCGCAGCGGTCACGCACTCTGAGGTGTGTGTAAGGCCCTTCAGCTGGTTTTAGATTCTTTCCTGTCATATTTAAACGTGTTGGCGCTTGTCGTATGTAGTGCTCTCCCTTTCTATGCGGATGGTTTGAAGAGGTTGCAGGAAGAGTGAAACACAGCCCACACGCACCTGGAAGAGGTTATATTACTACTATTCTTAGCTTGGTGCCCTTTTCGCTACAAACTCGCTAGTTTGCCTGTAGCTTTGTCTGTATTTCTTACGCAGCCCAGTCCCGCTTACAAACACCTCGGGGTTCCCTGCCTCAACACCATCCCGTGCCGTGCCGTACCATTGTCACGCCCTCCCCCCGTGTCCGCGGCTACCAGTCAAACCTGCTCTCCACCCCCACCCCCGCACCCGCTGCCCCTCGCGGCAGGCCCCACCCCAACCCCTCACTCTGCACGCCACGCTACCGGAAAGGCAGAAAGGCCCCGCACCAGAGCCAAGCTGTACGGGTCAAGCTTCACACCACCGCGGGAAACCTCCTTCCATCTTCTCCCCCCTCTTAAAACACGCGCACAGCCCACACGCACCTCGTGCTTCCGTAACTGCACCTTGACCTCCAAGACCCCCCCCCGGGAACCACGACACTAATCCCAACCGCCAACGTACATCCAGTACGGCCAAGAGAGCAGCAGGATCACTAGGGGCAGTGGGAGGACTGCACCCCCACCCTCGCGGGGCAGCCTCCCCCCCTTCCCTCCTCAAAAAACCCCAAACCCCCCCCCCGGCCAATGCCTCCCCCCGACCAGCTTCCCCCTCATCCGGCGTTGCCGCCTTTCTTCCGCCGCTTACGACCGCCCTCGGCCCGGGAGCGCAGAGGCTGCTTAGGGTCAAGGGGTGTGTGTGTTTCGCCGCGACGGCCTCCACCACCACGACCACCGGCCTCACGACCACCACCACCACCACCACGACCGCCGGCGCCGCGTGATTCGCCCCTGCCACCTCTGGCCCCGCCACCTACGGCCCATCCGCCTTGCCCTGCGCCTTCCAAGCTAACGAAAGGGCCGCCACGGCCTCTGCCCCCATCGCCGCGACCGCCGCGACCACTGCCACGTCCACCCCTGGGGGAACCCCTCCCAGCCCCCGCACCGCCCCCCCGCACACTGGGCATCCCGCGATCCGCATGTCCCTGGGGCCGACCGGTCCCTCCCCGCCGCAGGAACCCGGGGGACCCGCCCCTGCCTGCCCTCGCCTGCTGCCGGGGCTGCTGGTGGTGGTGGTGGTGGTGGTGGTGCTGCCGGTGCCGCAGCCCCGCGGCCCCCTGGTGCTTTGAGTCATCGCCACCTCCGTCGCTGTCGTCGCCATCCAGCCCCGCCGCATCCGTGCCCTGGAAAGCATGACTACAGTGCGCGAACGAACGAACGAACGAACGGATACAGTGACAGGACAAAGCGAGCTTTAACCAGGTTCGTCAGATTAGCAGCAGCACGAGCGAGGCTATGCGTTGGAATCCCGACACACACGCCTCCCTAGCTCATCGGACTATAATCGCGGGTCTTTATTGTTGATGGGAGGGCTGCTGGAGCGGCGGCCCTCATCGGGACCTGTTTGCGCCCTGCGGCAGCCGTGAGCTAGCGTGAGCATATCCGCGGGCTTCAGCTAGATCTCGTAAATAGCCTTAAGTTAACTCTTTCTTAGCAAGCCCTTTGAGCCGTGCGGCCCCCTCCCCATGGCTTTCATAGGGCAGCAGGCCGGCGGGTGCGTAGTAGGCTATGTAGCGATTAGCACGACCCCGGCCAAGCGTGAGCCACACGGCGATCAGAGGCCGCAGACCGACCTCCCACCTGTCGGAATCCGTCACTTACCCGCCGCCGTCGTCGTAGTCGTCGTCATCTTCGCCGTACGGCCCATCGTCGCCCCTGATATCCTCATCATCATCCTCATCTTCGGCGCCCGCAGGGGAGTGCCTGGGCCGCCGTGGAGCCGGCCTGGGCACACCGTTGACCGGCCCTGCCGCCCCCGTGTTCCTCCCTCCCTTCCCCTCTCGCCGCCGCTCCTGCTGCGCTTCTTCGTCATCATCATTTTCATCATCCGCAGCTAAGAAGAAGTCATCTTCCTCTTCCTCGCCGTCGTCCCCGCCCTCACTGCCCAGCTTTGCCGCAAACGCATGCCTGGGCCTCTTCGCCCCTGCCAGCTCGGCCTGCTGCCCGTGTGGCTTCTGCGGCTGCGACTGCGGCTGCGCCATCGCCCCCTCTACACGCGCGCGCTTAGCTGCCAGCCCGACTGCCCCCCTCTCTACAGTTGGCAGCCCGCAGGAGCCTTGCGGCTTTGCGGCACCGGCTTTGCCGCCTCCTCTAGCTGTTGCTGGGCCTGGTGCTGGCCCCCCGGACTGGGTTCGCGTCACCTGCTGTTGTTGCGGCTGCTGCTGCCCGACTGGCGGCTTGTACGGGCCCCCCCGCGGCCGCAAAAGGCCCCCCCGCGCCACCCTGCCGGCCCCCGCATCTCCCTGGCCCCCGTCCTCCTCCTCCTCCTCTTCGCCCTCCGCTTCTTCACCCTCGCCGTCACCCTCATCAACGCTGTTGCTCTGACCCTCAAGCTCGTCAACGCTGCCGCTGCCGGGCTCACCGCCGCCGGCCCCATCCGTCACCGCCGCCGCGGCCGCATTACCGTCGTCGCCGTCCGCCGCGAGAAAGAAGTCATCGTCGCATTCGTCCGCGTACCCATCGTCACGAAGCACCTCCTCCTCCTCCTCCTCCTCCTCCCCATCGGGCTGCCTCTTTTCCGTTCTTGACGTCTTGGCACTGTGACGCTGAGCGCCGTGCTTCGGAGCGTGCTTCGGAGGTGCTGACTGAGCCTTGGGGGCACGGTCAGCTGCGCCCCTCCTGTTCCCCCCGGCCTTGCTGCCCTCAACCCCATTAGCCGGTAAGCCGGAGACGGTAGCCGCCACTGCTGCTGGGTGAGCCGATAATGCCTACGGTGCGGCCCAATGTAAGGTGGGGTGCTGAAAGTGAGGAGCTGATCGGAATGTGCTCCAGCGTATCACACAGGCGCTGTGTGGAAAGCGACACTTAACCAAATCCAGATCCAGATCCACAACGGTGGAACAACAGTATTCCGCACACGCGCGCACACATCTAACCGCTAACCGGGGTCGGCGCGGTCAGAAGATAACAGTACGGTAAGGTGCAATGCCATGCCGTACAACAGTACGATGTAATGTACGACAATGCACCCAGGACGTACCTTGTCGCCGAGCAGCGCCCGCCCCTCGTCCGCTTCCGTCACCGCCGCCACCTCCGCTACTTGTCGCCGTACAATGGCACGGAGCCGTTCGCGCTCGGTCTGCGGAGAGTTAGCGGTTGGTAGTTAGCAGTTAAAACTAACAGCACCAACTCCCCCTGAGAACCATCTGTTGCAATCTGCCTTTTACAGCATGTAATAATGCAACCACGCTGCGTTTCCACACGCGTCGTACTTCTGCCGTACTCACCTCAAGATGCTTCTGGGCCTCTGGGTCCTCGACGTTGCGCAGAATGGAGACGTACTTTTCGCCCTGTGTCAACAAACCACATGCAGCACATGGCATGGCAAGAGACAACAAAGACTCTGGAAAGGGCCCCCCCCAACACACACACACTCTGGTGTTGGCCGCGTGAAGCAGATATCGACCTGGCGACATATTACCTGGCGACCTCACAGCTCCCCTCAATCCCCCGAACCTCCGCTCACCCTCGCCCTCCTCCCCCCCCGCTCTCCCCTGCCTGCCCCGTGGCCTCCGGGCACGTCGACAAGTTGGTCAGACACGAACACCCATTGGACCCTGTTCGTGCGGGCGGCCAGGCGGGCTAGAGTACGCACACACATGCACCACGCATACCCCCCCACCACACATACGTCGCCCATACCTAGGGCGCCGCTATGCCCCATGAAGTCCACACTTCACACTTCACACTTCACACGCAGCAAAGTACGCAAAGCTGTTTACCCGGACAGCGGGACAGGTCATATCCACATGGACATGGCCTCGGGGGCGCTTTGGACCCCAGTTGGCTGTGATACACTTCACATCACCGCTTGCCCCCGTCTCGATTACTGTCGTACAGCCGTACAAACGCCTGATACCGTTTTACCTTGGGAAAGTGCTTGACGTACATGAGGTCCTCTTTCAGCGCCGCCAGCTTTGCCCTCGCCGCTTCGGGGTCCAGCGGCGGCCCAGCAGCCTCCCCGTCCTCCTCCCCGCTGCTCTTTCCGCTGCCGCCGCGGCCCCCCTGGAGTCCGCGCTCTAGCTTTAGAATGGCCCGTTCCAGCTTCACTCGCTCAAAAAACTTTATCTGCAGCGTGATGGATCCACTCCGCCGGGTGCCCCAGAGTGGGACACCGTGGGAGGGGGGGGGTCAACGGAGGGGGCGGATGCCAAGGCGGGGTAAGGGAGGTAAGGGGGTAAGGGGGTAAGGGGGTAAGGGGGTAAGGGGGTAAGGGGGTAAGGGGGTAAGGGGGGGGAGAGCACACAACGGCCCATGCAACCGCTTTACTTCCCGAATGCGAACCCTCCTGGGTGGTCCCCCGGGGCCCCCGCAAACCCACACGCGCTCCTGCGTTTTGTCTTGCCATTGTGTGCATCCTCCGCCACCTCTAATCGCTTCTTCTCATCACAAGCATCATCAGCATCTCGCGGTGCACCGCCCGTCCTCCTCCTCTACCGCATTCCCCCCTTCCCCCCAGGTACTATCACCTGCCTTGTGATATTTGACCGCGTACTTCTTCTCCAGCTCCTGCCGCTGGTGCTGAGCCAGGGCCTCCGTCAGCTCCACCAGCTCGGCCTCCTTGGCGGCACGGACCCGTGGGTCGAGACCTCCCTGAGGGAGGAAGTGGGGAACGGTTGGCACGACGACACAATACGACAATACACACACGCAGCACGGAGGTCAGCGGCCATTGGCCGTGGGGGTTGAGGATTTGCGACGACGCAGAGGAAAGGGAAGCGGCGATTACGGGTGGGCATCATGTACAGGAAATGAACGGCAGCTGCAGCGCCGCGCGCTCGCCCTCCGTCCGAAGGTTGCGAGATAGGAGGTCGGGGGAGTCTCTATTTTTAATGGGAGTTAATTGCCGCGAGTAATTTGGGACGCACCCGCTTGAGCAGGCGCTCGACGCCACGGATTTTGTTCTTGACAGAGCGGTGCTTGTTGCTGCTGCTGCTGCTGCTTCCGGCACTGCTGTCGCCGCCGGGCTTCTTGGAGATACCTCCCGCGCGCGGGCCCAAGCGACCCCGCCCCATGCCTCGGCCGCGGCCCTGTCCCCGGTCTCCGGGGAAGCGGCCGCGGCCACCGGAGGCGCCCGGTCGCCCCATGCTGGTCAAGCTGTCGCAAAAGAATGAACTCGCATGCGATTACTGGTGGTTTGTCATGCCTTGGATGATAGGAATTACAATAAGGCCAGGTAAAAAAGTTTATTGTTGGCGGCGCAAGCCGAAACAATTAGCACCTAGGCGTGAAAAGAACTCTGTCGACATAAGTTGATAGATTGTAAGCTGTGAAGATTTATAAAAGCAGCCTTTACGGTTGCAGGCGATGAACGGTTGTGTCGCAGTGCGCGGGCGATGGCGGTGTCGTGCGAGGGAGACGACGAGCCGGACGCCTCCTCCCTGCAAATCCACGAAGCAAATTGTTGGCTGCCTAGTCGTCTTCACTATACGGTAATTAAGCCTTGATAACTGCTGGTATATTAGGTGAGCCGTGTGGTGTACCTCTCGTCATCAGGCACGCAAACCAACCGCATATCACTGCCTGTGCAACGCTGACGGAAAACATCCGAGCACTGATTCGTTGCTTGTCTTTTTGGTGGGTTTCGCATTTCCGGTAGTCATTCTTTAACTAGTTACTATTACTGTGGGAGAGATGGCAGCTCCCAATCAGCAACAGCAACAACCGATGGTTGATCACAAACGCGAGCCGTGCCCAGACCGCATCTTGAATGATATCGGTGGTGCCTTCGCCATGGGAGCCGTGGGCGGCGGCATCTGGCACCTGATAAAAGGAACTAAAAACAGCCCTTCAGGCTATCGAATGCGGGGAGCCATAGAGGTGCGATTTTGCGCCGACGCCTCCCGGAAGGAGCGGAGATACTTGCCGATCAGTCGCCGGCACCAGACATGCTCCCTACCATCCACTTCACTTTTGTGTACTTCACCATGTGCGGCACCCAAACCGCTTTTAGCTTGTTTGGCTCGATACTAACTCAACTTGCCTTGAACCCTGGGGTCGCACCACAGCACAGGCTCCTCAGACCTTAGTACCTGCCCCGTTGGCCCCAACCCTGCTCTAAGGCAACCGGGCCCAAATACTCCACAACGTTCAAAATCTGATTCTGAACTTACCATCACCTCTGTAATATCCATCATGCAACACAACGATACCCAGCTACGCACATCCCCATCCCCGTCAGCGCCGCACATCGCCCTGGCCAACATTGACGCCAACAACGGCTTTAAGCCGGCCACTTAACAACTCCATGTCGCGTTAAACCGACTGTGCGTTGCCGCCCTGCCATTCCTCCATGTCCGCCCTTTTCCCTCTCCCCTTTCCCTCCCTGGACTGGGTGTATTACTGGCCTGTATGGGCCTGTGTGGGCCTCTCCCCCCCTCAGGCCGTGCGCCGGGAGGGCCCCCGTCTGGGCGGCAGTTTCGCCAACTGGGGCCTCACCTTCGCCCTCTTCGACTGCTCCCTGCAGTACGTCAGAAAGAAGGTGAAAGCATGGGGGGTACGACGGGGAGCGCAGACGATTGTCGAAAAGGGCCAGCATGGGGAGTCGGGGGAAGGGGAGAGAGACCTTTGCGAGGTGGGGGAGGGGGGAGGGGAATCCAGGGGATAAGCGAATGCACAGTCATGTGCAGCCAACGAGCGAAAAGGGAAGGGGATGGAAGGGATGTTGAGCAGCGAGGGAGGGCGTCGTGTGTGTCGTGTATATGTTAGTATGTATGTATGTTAGTATGTATGTATGTGTGTATGTATGTGTGTGTATGTATGTGTGTGTGCAAGTGGTACTTACGGCCACGCGGATTATGGGCGCGAGGAGGTGTGTGTGTGTGTGGGGGGGGGGGAATATTGAGCGGGAGAGCCAAGGATCGACTTCCGACATGACCTGAGGGGGGGGGTCCGGAAAGGGGGACGTGCGCTGTGCGCGTATTAGAAACAACGGCGGTTACACATCTTGTTCTTGTGTAGCGATAGCTCAGCTCGATCTTTCAACGCCACGTTCCTTATGGCCTGTCTGCAGGCACTCCTACCCACCTACATACACATACACACACGCCCCTCCCGCCCCTCCCGCCCCTCCAGGAGGACCCTTGGAACGCCATTGGCGCGGGGGCGCTCACGGGCGGCTTCCTGCAGCTCCGGTTCGGGCTGTCCTCCGCAGCTAAGAGTGCGGCGTTTGGCGGCTTCCTGCTGGTGAGGGGGCGGGGCAGGGGCGGGGCGGGGAGGGGAAAGAAGGGACTGGGGGTGGGCTGCGTGGGAGAATGGGAGTGGAGAGGAGGGGAGGGGGAAAGAGGGGGGAACGTTCTGGGTGTGTGTGTGTGTGTCTGCCAACCGATGGGGGGGGAAGGAAGGGGGGGGAAAACAGTATGATGAGCAGGAAGGCTTGAGGTGTGTGCATGTGTGTGCGTGTGTGGTGGGAGGATCGGATGGGGGCGGGCTGGAGCGGAGAGAGTACCACAGCCGCATCCATATGTGACTTCACCGCCCTCATCCCGACCTGCTTCATTCCCCCCCTCCCCCCTCCCCCCTCCCCCCTCCCCCCTCCCCGCTGTCCGCTGTCCGCTATCCGCTGTCCGCTGTCCGCACACAGGCCCTGATTGAGGGGTTGGGTATTGCCCTCACGAAGCTCACCTCGCCTCCGCCCCCCGGGTTGCCACCTCCCACCATGGGCGGACCCATGGGTCCAGGGGGCCCTATGCCGCCGCCAGGTGAGTGCTGGAGTGGCTTTCCCCCCTCCCGCTGCCCCTGCCGTGTGTTTGGTTGAGGTGGCGTATGACTTAGTGGGAGGTCACTATGTGTGC